AAAAGTGATCACACTGGATTTATCTTGTTTTTCCAGAGCTTGTGTGTTTACCTAAACTACTTCAATGTATTTCATCACACACACACGCAGAGAGGAATGAGTTATCAGGTTTATACTCTCACTGCTTGTTTCCTGGGATGAACCTCAACAGAAGCTTCAAATAGACAACACCTACCTGATTGAGAAGCCACTCTGCCACCCTGAAGTTCTGTGTCGAACAAGCCGAGGAAGATAAAGTAGCATGTCGCTGACTTGCAAATGCAGCATTGGTTGACATATTCAAAGGTTACACAAACAACTCTTCACAGATAGTAAAACAGGGGCAGAAGTCTGTTTTGCACAGAAATAGCTCAATCTCACAATAAAAACTTTGTGTGCTTAGTTTTAGCTCGACAAGTCAATTTGTTGCAATATCAGTATTATATTTCTGCATTGACTTGACTTAAACAGACATAGAATAAAAGGCAGCAATGTGTTCCTACAAGTTACAAACCTGACTCCAATATGCAAACACAGGGTTCCTGATTTAACCGAGTCTCTGTTAAAGTAACACCTGAACAAAACGTTGCCAGCGTAACTTCCCACAGTTAAGACCCAAACATGTTAGTGCGCGCTAATTCTGCGTAATTTACATCTAAATGCTCTCAGACGGCCTTCGAAATGATCGATTTGTTGATCAGTACTGAAATTAAACAAAACGATAATTACGGCAAGAAAAGGGAAACGACATCAAGGGTTAAATAGCGTCGTTGATCTGGTATAACCAACTCTGAAAATCGAGAAAAGGTCTCCTTCGAGCCGGATTTGAACCAGCGACCTAAGGATTTCAGCTGAATCGCCTCTACAGTCCTCCGCTCTACCAACTGAGCTATCGAAGGGACTGAACCACTTTGCAGCATCTGCTATATTTGAACAATATCCAAAGAACATGTCACGTATGTTACGGCTACAAGCCAAACTGGCTGACGGTGCTAACTAGCGTTAGCTTTCAGTGCGTGAATCAATTTAGCACTAATGTTACATCGCCTGAAACTCTTGGAGGGAATAAACTGGGCCTCTTTTGCTACGATGTAAAATGAACTAACATAAGCTGCGCAACGCAACATTAGTTATTGAGCTCTTTTAATTTAACTTATACCTGCAAAACCAGCTAAACCCGGTTGTCTTCTAGTCACTCCATGTAGCGACAGCCATCACGTTTGGCTAAACGCATTTAGATGATGGTACAATTTCTAACTAACTATATTCCCTTCTTCCATTTCCACCACCAGGTGGCAATATACTCCTATTTTCTCCTCCTTAAATCACAAACCCACCATGTGCTCAGATTAACACTTCTTTAAGAATATTTATATGTAAAAATGATTCAGGTAACTTAATCTCTAATCCTCTAATCCCGGAAGGTAAAAATTCCACTTCAGAAGACATTGGTATGTTCTCCGACAGCACAGACACGGTGTGTTACCTCGTGTGAGTATTTCTATCTCTTTCTAAATCCTAGTTCTACTCTATTTCAGGAGCAAATAGTGTATGTTTTACTCCAGAATATTTATTTAAGAATGAGAAACTCGTTCATTTTAAAAATTATAATATAATATATATAATTATAAACATGATGAGTCCAACAGCTCTCAATGTTTCTTACACATTGATAATGTTATAATCTAATAACATATAACTAATATACTATAAAGTACCATTGTTTATTACGATTTATGTTTCTCTTCATACTTGACTTATGTCTTTTCCTGATAACGCACATGTGTGTCTTTGACATAGTACAATCTCGACACGGAGGTATTGCTACTTTGACCTTTTAAAGAACCCTAGTTCGACTGAGAGGGGGCCATAAAGATGTAAACCGAAAATCAATGACCCTTGAGCAGCGAGGTTTATTACAGGCTTGTAATCTCAAATATAAACGGTTGCTGTCAGCCGGAATGAAAACATAGTCATCGTGTCCCGACCTGTCAGACAGAAAGGCAACGTGTTACACGTGTAGCTGCTTCAACATAAGCTGCATTACATCAACATGGGGACAGACATGCAGCCTAAAGCGGCCAACATTCCTCTCATAGCGCAGGCAGGTTCAAATCTTCTGCATCCCTTACTGAGATTATCATCCTGCCTCTCAACTGAGACTCCACGGGGAGATACTTAACCTCAAGCGCCTGAGGTCGGTCTTCAAGACACGTTATCATCAATCAGAACCACTAATAGACGGCTTCACAGGACAAACTCCATGGTTATATGCAAACTAGCAGCATGTTTTCAACGCTTTATGGCTTTCTTCTTCATCAAAGTGGGTTTCAGAGGAGTAAAAACTGCAAGTAATTGTAACAGTGGGTGGAATTTTTCTCTCCGTAATGGAGCAAAGGCCCAAAGGCCTCCTTGGGATTAACAACCGCCAGCGGTCATCAATCTGCTTTCCAAGGTCGCCATGTCTGTCACATCCTCAAGGGTCATCCCGTGTGACCTATGAGGCCTTTTGAAAGATTTACGCCCTCCGTGTTTTGTACTCTGGAAACCATTTTTTTGAATGGTCTGTCTTGCATGGGCATTTCCTAATGAGCCGGCCCGATGAAGATCAAGCACCCATCTCACACTGCCGACCGCACCTCTGTGCTCCGCTTCAATCTTGCCCGACAATAAATGAACAAAGTAACACCCGTTACAAAATAACAAAGTAAAGTATACGCAAAGCAGTCTTTGTTTTTTGATAAGGTTGGTCTACAATGGATACTTTATTGTGCTGACAGGAAAAGACAGAAACGTGTGTTTGGTAACGAATGTCATGTGAGTAGAGCATCTTCTTTAGAGATACAATGCAACTTAGTTGCCATAAAAAAGTGGATTTGTTGTGATCTTCATGTGTTTAGGGTCAAAGGTGCAATTAAGGGGAACATTGCCTCTGGTGATCTTCCTGTGTCACCTTAAACACGTTCATCTTGTATTTAATATGCAACAGGAATACGGCGCAGACTTCACACATGTCCCATCCTCTATAACATGATGTAAACATGATCTGTAATACCAATCATTTTCAGCCATCATCTGTCAGATACACAAACAGGAACTCACACTAGTGGTTTGACAATGTTAAAATCTGGGTCCGTGTTTCCCCTCCTGCTGGTCTAGCTACCTTAAATGGGTGTAGCGGATGACATTACACAAATTAATTTAACTTATGGAGGGGGTTGTGGAGGCCTTGGCTGTGCTTAGAAGGACCAAGAGCCTTTCAACCGTCATTTTATTTCACGAATAAGTAATACTTTCAATACCAAACGATTAACATCGCGGGGAGAGTTGCATTTTAGAAGAAATATTTACAGAATGCAAATGGTTCAGATCAAACCGTATGATAGAAATGTGGGTGAGGAGCTTGTTTTGTCTGGGAACGAGGAGACAGATACTAGAGATAAACGTCATAAAAATGGAATGAAGAGAAAGGAGAAGCAGTGACAGAAGGTGTTTGGAGCCTGTGGGCAAGGCCCCTACCCTCCTGGCCTGGAGCCTGTCTGGCTTTTTGTCTGAATTGTACAGGAGAGCAGGCAGATTATTTGCAAGGGTTGAGGCAGTTCAGTGAGCTGAAGGTACTATAGGTGGCAATGCAGCTCGCGGCGGGGGGGAGGGGGGGCATATCCTTTTACAGTGTGGAAATAAAGCAGGCCAGTGGCGATGGAACGGCCCCACGTTGATCGTCTCTTTGGCCGATTCGGTCTCTGGCTGTGGAGGTCCTGCACCAGACTGCTGCAGGAACGGAGGTTGTTTAATATGAGAGGAGTATTTCACCCCAACTTTTTTATAATGCACTTTTCTGCAGTATTCCCACTCAGTAACATGAGCCAGTGGCTGATTAATCATGAAGCACAACTGAGCTGATTTGGCGCCGTAGAATTCTCTCTTGATTTAAAGAGAGTAAAAGGAAATTGTTGCCGTCTCGTGCGGGGCCTTCATCCAGCCCCCGGGGAATACGCCACACACTGGCCGGGATTAGACATCCTTCCTCTGCGGCATTCTTCACGGGGATCAGAGAGCACATCATCCCTTGTCCTGGCAAATGGGTCGGGAGACATCGGAAATAACCCGGGTGCTAAAAACAGGCCGGCACGAACCCTGTCCCCTTTAAACGGAGGACACCCGTCACTGTGACGAGAGAGCAGCAGTATTCAAGGAATGTCCTGATCTGGGATGCCTAAGGGAGGAAACTGGGAATTCTCATGACCCCCATTGCTCCGCTTTAACATTTACACCCGATGAGAGGATGATTCACACAACGGGCCGTATTCACAGTATTTACTCTTGACCTCGTGTGGCCACAGCTGTGATGCGGATTCTCAATGACTTCGCTCCACTTTCGTCTTCGCCTGCCTGCCTGCCTGCCCTGTCTTTGGATGTCCGTGGCATACGTTAAGCTTTTACATGGCATGTAATGGCAAAGCTACTTGTGGTTAATAGCAATTCTCTTTTTGCTTAATAAAATTTGTCTTTGGACTCAATGAGGGGACATCCAAAAAGGGCATACAGCGGGATGATTATTGGGGTCAATGGTTGTTTGACCCATCAAGGTCAAGGGCTGTTCTCTGCCTGACGATGTGGCAGGTGAAGCGTGTGAGTGGCAGTTAGAAATAAGTGGGGATATGTGGCAAGAATGCAACACAATTATATGTTTGACAGTCATTGCTTCAGTGCCGGGGGAGGGGGGGGGGGGGGGGGGGGCTGTCTAAATGTCTCATTTATTGTTTTAGACACTTTTAGATGCTTTTATTATGGGTGTTTTTTGGGGGGAATGCAGAGAAGAAATTGTGAATTGTTCTCTAAAAAATGAATTTGATAGACGACGACAACGTGTCACAGTCAATAACCGTCATTATAATCCCAGCATCTCCTTTAAAACACAGTAAACAAGTCTGCTGGGGTTTTGAAAAAAAGTCGGATTTTTGGAAGGTGCGTGGGCGGGGACTGTGAGAAGACAAAGAGAGGAGGGCGGTGCCAACTCCTTCATAATCCCAAATGCCAATGAACTCGCAGCAGATTGAACCCCGAAGCGCGTGGGCTCGAATAATCTGGAATAATTTAGAAAAGATGATGAGCGCCCAGATTAAACGATATAAATCACACGCGGGATTTCTGCAGCAGACAGACAGGATTACACTCACGTTCGGCTCCCTTGGCTTTCTAAACACTTTGTAATACTATCAAATACATCTTTTTTATTGGGAGGAAGACTGTTGGAGAATCACCGACTGGACATCGTTGCATCCAGCTGTTGGGGACGCGCTCTAATTTGCATATAGGACAGGTGACTACGTTGATGTCCGCTTCGCCAGGATGAGACTGTGGACTTTGCTGGTCATTGTCCCGCTGTGCGCATCGTCCCCTCGGACAGCCGGTGAGTTTCCAATCTGTGCCCGACACTTTTAGGCGCGCACTTTAAGGAAAACAGGCGCTGTGCGCGCGATTCTGGAAAACACTGCACCCACGTGTCTGGTGCACAACTGTTTTCTAGAAAACCATTTGCGAAAGCGCCCCCCCCCTGTTTACCACCTTCTTATAGTAATGGCCTGCTTTTGGCGGCGTATATAACTACAACTCTTTTCTGGTTTAAAATGAGCGCACCTTCTTTTTTTTCATTTCCTCACCAGAAAAGTCTAAATCCAAAAGTCTAGAGTTGGAGAGCCGCTGCTCCGGCCGAGCCTGCAACCCCCGCATAGGCAACCTGGTCCACGGCAGAGCGCTGCGCAGCCAGTCGGTCTGCGGCTCCAACTCCTCGGAGACCTACTGCGCCTTCAAGGAGGTCACGTCGTCCCGCATCAGAGACTCCTGCTCGGCCGTGAAATGCAGCAAGTGCAGCTCCGCCGTCCCCGACCAGGCGCACCCTCCTTCGGCCATGAGCGACTCGTCTTTCCGCTACCCCGACACTTGGTGGCAGTCGGCGGAGGGGGCGAAGGAGGAAACGCTCCAGCTCGACCTGGAGACCGAGTTCCTCCTCACCCATCTCATCCTGGTGTTTCGCTCCCCCCGCCCGGCCGCTATGGTGCTGGAGCGCTCCCAAGACCGAGGGCGCACGTGGAAAGCCCTCCGGTACTTTGCCGGGGACTGCGAGGGGGTGTTCGGCCTGGCGGAGGGGTCGCCGGTCGGGGAGAGCGGAGCAACTTGCACCGCCAAGTATTCAGGAGCTTCCCCTTGTACCAGAGGAGAGGTGAGTTTTTTTTGTTGGGGGGGGCACATGCAAACCCATTGGGGGCGATCAGTGAGGGTGAATAACAAGAAGAAGAATAAAAGCTGTTTAACATTGTGCAACAACGCTGCAGGTCTTGATTCAACCCCCTAAAATAATCACTGTTTTAATTCAACGTGACACATCACATGACCCTGGGATTAAAAAAGTAAGATGCATCACTGGCCTCATGACTCTACCTACACGCTTATACAGACATCACACCGGGTAAAGAGCCGATGATCAGTAATCTTTGAGGTTGCTGTGGTTGTATTTGTATCTGACAGTGACACATAAAAACACCGTACCACCACTTCAGAGTTTACTGGAACCCGCATGCTTTATACGCTGATGTCACACAGCCCACTGAGCAAACAGCTGACCTGCAGCTGTAAACTGAGCAGCTCTGATGGGCTGCAATATACCTTCTTTTTATTAGGCCATCCTTCAAAGCTGCAAACTGCTTTGACCCACACGGATAGAATGTCAATGTTCACTTTTACCGCCAATATTCCACAAAAAAGCTTTCTTTGGAGCTGCTGCATCATCACTGGAAGGCCTGAGCCAGATAACACCAATGAATAATTGATGAGCAAGCCGGCCATTCAGACAGATGGTGTACAAAAGACTGTCCCTGTAGCCCCGGACCACTTTGGGAGGTTCTGGTTCAGCGTCTGAATATATGTCTTTGACTGATCTCATAATTGCTGTGTATTTGGATCTTATTTGTCTTGCTACAGTATGTCAGCGCTCTTGTATAAGCCTGTCAGCCTTTATAATTAGTCTGTTGCTCAATGTGCAGAAGACCCAAAATATGGTGTTTCAGTAATACAATAACACTTCAGGCCATTTTAAACTCACAATGTTCCTTCAGTAATTTTGTAAACTTGTTGACGTCACTCTATTTGATGTCCTAATGTGAAATACAGTATTCATTTTGATACATCATTGTACAAAGGAAGTATAAATTCTAAATACACTATAGTGTAGTTTCACCCTTCACTGCTAAATAACTGCTACACTTTGCTGTACTGAGGATAAAGGCCGTCCACATTGATACATTTCTCTGTTCATAACTCGTGCGTTCATAAAATAGCACAAGTCTTTTTGCTTTATTGTTTTAATTTCTGATCTTTCACATATACACACAGACGTTTAGTTTAGTATTTGCAAACTAAACTTAACCTTCATGTTTACATTAGAGCGAGTCAGATTTTGCGAGCTATGCAGCCTCTTGCGGAGCATGACATGCGAACCAGATTGACGCCTGTTTTTCATTTGGCAGGCCGAGAAAAAAAGAAACTGATATAATTTATGTTTCACGTCAGTCCGTCCGCATTTTTAAGGTCAGTTTTCTCTTGCTTGTTATGGAGGCTTTTAAAAGTTCAATAACACATCTATTTTAAGCCCTTTTTTTTCTCCTCTACCCCAAATTTCAGGTGATCTATCGAGCTTTGTCGCCCTGGAACTCGGTGGATCCGTATGGACCCGCCGCCCAGGACCAGCTCATGGTCACCAACCTGCGCGTCCGTCTGCTGCAGCGCCAGCAGTGTCCCTGCCAGGCCAAACATCCTGGTGGTGCTGTCCTCCCCACGGACCACTATGCCATCTATGATTTTATTGTGAAAGGCAGCTGCCTTTGCAACGGACATGCCGACCACTGCGTGCCGGCCGGGGGCCAACAGAAAGCCAACAACATGGTGAGCCATTTTTTGAGCTGGATCTTGGGAGCTTACGGCTCGCAGCTGCACAATACTCCACTTGGGAAAAAAGCTCTTGCGCTTGTGTTGTGAGAACTTGCTGGGATGTTGTGTCATGCCGAAGTCTGCCGAAGGCCTCGTTTTGTCTCCATCGCTATTTGTTTATGTGGTAAGATTGGGAGAAGAGGGTGCAGGGTTTTGTTCCCACCGCTCCTTTGTTACTCAGCCGTGTGCTGGTATGCGCCACTGAAGCTTGAAGGCTGCAGTGAAGACTGGATATTAGCCCTCAGCTTTACCTACCATTACAGGGATTTAGGTGTGTGGAAACCTTAATTATGGTATTCGCCATAATGCTTTAACAACCCCGAGTCTCTTTAGTGGTATTCTCTTCACTGTAAATGGAGACTAGAAGAGCCTGTTTGAGTCCAACATGGTCTGAAGGGGTGTAGAAATGCAACACAGGCAGGAACCAGCTGTGATCTGCATGCAGATGTTGCTAAAGAAGTGCTAGATCACATTTAGGTGCAAGGCTGCTGGAAATCCGGCTCAGCGGACACTAACTCCGGCGCCTTGACTGCTGACCACACATTAATAAGAAGGGCGACCGTTTCAGTGTTGCCCTTCATCGGACATTATTTGTTTCTAAACCCACACCTAACGGCTGAACGTTTCAAAGCAGTTTAAGAAGAACTCCTCACATACATCAAGTCCTCTTCTGTAAAATGTGTTCCTTTTGCCCAGCAGGTCCACGGAAAGTGCGTCTGCAGACACAACACAGCCGGCGAGCACTGCGAGCGCTGTGCGCCGCTCTACAACGACCGGCCCTGGCAGGCGGCCAACGGCATCGTGGGGACGCCGCACGAGTGTCAGAGTGAGTGATGGGCCGAGAGTCGACTGCGGAGCGGGACGCGCGGCCGGCAGGCCGAGCTTCAAAATGAATTTAGTCTCATGAATCACACGTGACCTCTGCGAGATAAATAAGCGAGCGGCTGCACTGTTTGTTTCTTCGCCGTGCTGTAAAACTGCTGGGTGTGTTTTTCATTGCGCGTGTCTGTCCGAACCTAGGGTGCAAGTGTAATGGTCACGCCAAGAGCTGTCACTTCAGTCGTGGGTCGTGGCTGGCGAGCGGACGGCGGAGTGGCGGCGTGTGCGACAGCTGCCACCACAACACAGAGGGCCGACACTGTGAGAACTGCGAGAGGGGCTTCTTCAGAGACCCCGACCGACCCAAAACGGCCCCGGACTCCTGCAGAGGTAAATCTCTTTCTGCCGATCGTAGCTCCTCCCCCCCCCCCGCTTCACTTGAACCATAACCGTAAATGGATGAATGCAAGTGGAGAATTCCAATTAAGGGTGGAAGTCTTTGATATTTTGAGGGCAGTAATAGAGACACAAATTTTCTTTTGACCCCCCCAGATTAAAGTAGATTGATTTTCCCCTCGGCACCGTTCTGAGTCGCTGCCTCCCCAGTGAGGAGATCGTAAGATGACTCTAACCCGTTCCTCAGCAGGAATGACGGCCACCGCACTGTTTTGGAATGTGACCGTAATTGCAAACAACGGAGGAATTTCCCACGGACCATGCAAGCACATTTCTCCCATTCTTGCCCTTTTGCCCCGCCGGGCATGCCGAAGCATTTTTAAGACCAAACATGCTGTTTTGGGAAACTGCTGAAGCAAGTCTGTAACAAAAATCAATCTATCATCACGAGGGACCATTAGGGGGCAGGTCTGACAGCGCAGAGAGGGAGTGATTTACTCTTGTTTTTTTCCGCTGCAGCTGCTTAGCGCGTGTTGCGTACATTCTTCTTGCTTGTTACGGGAAGATGATCAAATACAGACCGCCTTTTCCGAAGCGTCGCGAGAGCTCACCGTCTTCAACGTGTTTGTTTGGGCTTCTTTACAAGTGTTTGTCCTTCACGTGCATGCAGGCGCATAATGTATTCCTCAGTGCAGATAGCGCTCTGTCAGAGTAGCGTTACGAGTCTGTTGACCTGCAAACCGCTGTTAACACGCAGCCAATATTTCCTCTCTGCAGCGTGTTCCTGCCACCCTGTAGGCGGCGTGCGCTCGGGAGGCGCCCCTCTCTGCAACCCCAGCAGCGGGGAGTGCACTTGTAAGCCCGGCGTCGGAGGCCCCCGCTGTGAAAGCTGCATGCTGGGATACTGGGGGCTCCACGAATACGGCTGCCGTCCGTGTGACTGCACAGCGGACTGTGACCCCTACACCGGTGACTGCATTTCTGAGTGAGGGCCAACATTTCAACCCCTATCCATATGTATCTGTACTCCGATGAAGTGATGCATGGGCGTCGGAGTGCGTTGCGGATGATTGAGACGGGATCCTGACTGGTTTTACCTGTGCGGCGCAGCTCGGATGTGGAGGTCTTTCATGCAGCCACCGGCCACATGGGACACCGCAGCAGTAATCGTGAGACGGCACTCTTTAGGCTACAGGAGCTTTTCTCTGCACTGCACCACTCTGGTGAGTCACAGGTCACATCCCCACAAAATACGCCGCACACTCAGCGGCCCCCACCGATTAAATGCAGCGGTTTTTGATGTTCGAATCTACATTGTGCAGAAGGGATTAATGTGACTCTTATGTTTTATGTTGCAGAGAAATGTGAGTGTGTAGAAGTTCCACTTGGCAGCCCTAAACTCTTCTGTGCTGCAGAGTATGACTACGGTAAGTACTATTTTTTTTGAAAGTGGGAAATCATTCAGTATTGTATCATGTCTATGATCAAACTCAATGTTTTTCCTCTTGATGTCTTGTGATTCCATAAAGCTGCGTTGTTAAAAACTGTTTGCACGTGCACCAGGAAAACTAAACTAGGATCCACTCTCATAACAATCGCTTATAGCACTTCCAGTGGTCAGAAACTCCACAGCGTACCTTTTTTTTAAAAGAAAATAATGTCTTTTACTTCAAGGTCAGAACTGATGGGGCTCAATAGGCCAGGTTTTGTGACCTACAATTCCCATGTTGCAACTCAACCTCTTTTTAAATAGAATCACATTTTGCAATGCCCACAGGATGTAATGCAGGTTATTTAAAAAAAAAAAGAGGAAAAAAGCATTTTCCAAAACCCGAACAGAGAAAAGTTTGACTTAGTAAACTGACTTGGATCTTTTTAAAGTTTGAAACGGGCAAATTGTATTTTGTCATTGGTGCTAATTTGACAAAGGATTCTTTGTGTTGCCCCGGCAGTGCTGGTGGTGAAGGTGGTGACGGCTCACGATAAAGGTTCCCATGCAGAGGTGGAGGTCAAGGTCAAGAAAGTATTCTACCAGAACCCCCAGATGAAGATCCAGAGGGGAAACGTTACCCTTTACCCAGAGTCCTGGACCACCAACGGCTGTACTTGTCCCATCCTAAACCCAGGTCAGCTGCAGCAAAAAACGTGACGCGTGAACTATCCGCCGTCTTCGTGCTCAATAGAGGATCTTTGTCGCCACTCATGCAGGCTTAGAGTGGGGGCCAACGTCCTCGCTCGTTTCAATTTGACATTTACAGCTTAAAGATTACAGCCACCTCTCTGTAAAACATTTACAATGTTGCTCCCGCAAAAAGAACTGCAGTATTTAACTGATTCTAGTGATATAATGTGTGTTTTTACGTAAGGGGATTTTGTGTGGTGTTCTCATCAGACTGGAGACTCAGAAGGGTTTATGCTCTGCTCTCTTCTCCAGGATCTGAATACGTTGTTGCCGGTCACGAGGACCGGAAGACCGGCCAACTGATGATCAACGCCAAGAGCCTGATTAAATCATGGAAGTCAACCCTGGGACGTAAAATTCTCCACATCCTCAGGAAAGACTGTGGCCGCCGGTAGTGTGTCCAAGATGCTCTGTGACACACCGGAGTGTGTAAAGTGGACAGAGTGATGGTTGAATTTCCGCATTGCGCCGGCACTAAAATGACCACAAAATCCAATGGCCAGAGATTTGACCGTTTCTTCTGTTTCTCAGGCGGAGGGCACATTCTCAGGAAACTGCAACAATGCTGCAGTGGTGTGGTTGCTAGCCTGCAATAAGCACATGCCTCTCCAGACTTCTGTCACTTAAGAATAATAAAGAACAAAGCAAGACTTTTATCTGAACAAAGGCGATGGTGGAAGTCCATTACCGCGTTACTGTATAATATTCACCAGGTCATCTGCAAAGCACGTTAAACTAAATTACACTTTTCCCGGACAAACTTCCTTGGTGATCCAGTCACGTCCGACGGCATCAATTTCATTGAGAGCTGTTTACTTTGAAATCTTAAAGGCGCAGAGGAAATTATTCCTGTGGTCTCTCCGATATTGCCGATAAATCATGAACGAAGTCAACAGCCGAGTGTGGATGTCTGCGTTTGCTTGATGCCCTTGGCAGGAAGTCGGCGACTGTGCAGGTCACAACAAGCAGCTCCTGGATGAAAAAAAAAAAGCATTAAGAGGAATCCGACGGCTTAATCTGAGCGGCTCTCCTCAGCGCCGTTAAACAGGCCAGCCCGCTGTCTGCTCCACCGGCTCCAGCGCTTGGTTTTGCCCTCACAGCCGGTTCAGCTGTCAGATTCTGTGAGGGTTTTTGTTGTCTTGGTTTCCGACCTGCTTCCTTGTGAGGCGAATCACTTCAGAAGGGCTCTGTGTACCCGGCTCTGCATGGGAGCGGGAGCGCACACTTGACATTTGCGCTTTATTTGTTTCACTGCTGCCCCAAAATCAATATGCATTAAAAGCCATTGACATCAGAGTTAACAAGTTCGTTTTGGAGCCAAAGCTCAGCGAAGAATGAGTCTAGTTCGCTCTCTAAGGAGAAGGACAATCTCAACGAGGAGACCGGATGCATTCCTCCAACTTGACATCAATGCTCAGACTCAGACTTTAAGGGAAATGGGCCGGAGCTCTTATTGTAATGGACAAAGGGGTCATTTGGGGGGCACGAATGTACTCTGCCTTGGAGATATTTCTATTGTTAGTTCTGTGTCCTGTATGTCCTGTCCCCCCCCATCTAAACTTTAAACAATAAATCAGTGTGCATTCTTAGTGCTGTTTATTTCCATGGGGCCCTGATGGGTTTTCCTGTAATCTTTTCACTAGTGTGGGATGTTTTTTGGTACCGACCTCCTTTGGTTAAAGGAGAGAAATACACCTTTAATCATCAGATACTTTGAATGTATTGGGAGCTGTTAGGCACAACACGCACACGGCAATTGATGAGATTTATAACAATTTCTTACAAAACTGCCTCAAATCAAAAGAGCAAAGAACTATAGAAATATAAATATTTCACTTCAGTTTCCTTCACAATGCAAGCGAAGCCTTTTCAGCCCATTTCATTGCTATAACTTTTTTGCATGTTTCTTTTGCATATTCATGTTGCATATTTCCTAAAAGCAGCACATATAACTAAACTAAATGTGACTAAAATGTCAACACTACCTTTGTTACAGATGTGCCCTTTGTCTATTGGCCCAACACTGGTAAGCTACTTCCACGATACAAGTATTTTGCTTTTTAAATATCCACCCCAATGAATAATAACTACCTAATGGTGTTCAAGCAGTGCACATGTAATTCAGAGAAAGATTGCATAATTGCGATCAGTCAGAGGTTTGTTGTCTTGTCCGCCGTGCTCCTCCCAGCGCGTGATTAGTAGTCGTCTCCCCTGCTCACCACCTCCTTGTACGTGGGCCTGAGTAGGATGGTGTGCTCGTACTGGGCGGTGTAGCTGCCCTTGATGTCACAGAGGGGTGGGTATGGATCTATGAGGCCAAGGTCACACAGATTCTTCAACGCCATCAGGTACTTGCTCTCACCCAGGCGGTCCAGCCAGCGACGGCAGAATGCCAAAGTGCTGAAGTTCTCATTGATCACGTTCAGCAGATGTTTAGCCCTTGGAAGTCTGCAGCATGACAACAGAGTCCACAGTGAGACAAACCACAGATTGGCTTTATGGACGTAAACAATCATTGTGATGTTATGACGCTCTATTCACAGTCGCTTGTTAGAATGATGGATTTCCTGGCAAAATATAAATGAGCAAATCGACCAACAAATATTTTTGCATTTAAATACAGGGATGAGCTGAAAACCGCAAAACCAACCTTATTGGAACGTGTCCAACGTTGAAGTTTTTCATGTAATGTGAGCACTCCATGTCATCGTGGACTGCACCTCTGCCCGTGCTGCCAAATGTCTCAATGGCGTAAGCTTCACCTTCCTGATGGGCAACAAAAACAGACCGAAAAAAATGTCATTTGGATTGATGTAGAATGTAGAATAACTAGTCCATGCACCAATATGCGAGGCTGAGTGGGAGTGATGTTACTGAAAGGACAAAAACACTAAATTAAATCCAAAAACCTCAGCGTGCCAGCAGCTGACAAATTCATGTGCCGTTTATTAACGACAGAAATGCCCTTTGCAGACCAGCGGCTCGTGCAAGTTGACTGGCTGGGTTTTGCTGGGATTTTGTGTCTCTATCGGCGCCTGATCGTTGTTGGTGTCCCTGTGGTATTGGCTGATAACACTGCGTCACCCTCTCGCACTGCACCGAGGAGCTGTCAAAGTGCCGGGAGCCCCGTCGCACGGCCAGCTGCCGCTCTCCCGTCGCTAAGAAGGTAATGGCCCCGTTTCATCAACACAATTCAGCTAAAAATACAACACGCAAATCTGCAACCTCAGCAGCAACCTCCCATCGACACCCCCTAACCCTCCTGGAACCATCAGGTAGAACGCTTGACTCAGCTACTTGCCAATTAAAGCGCTCGGTTCTGTTCGCAGGGTGTGAGGCGGGCGTCCCGGCGTGGTGCTCGGGAGATAAAAGATGGGGGCGAAGCCGCGTTTTATCTTTGGTTTGAGGCCAACCGGTTTACGAGCTCTGGATGACTGCGATCCCGTACTGCGATGAAACGAGGAGCTCGAGTTTGAACTGCTGTCGCTACTCGATGCGGCTGGTAATTCCATTAAAGGTGTAATTAAAGTGCTGACGTGGGTGACTAAGAAGCTGTGAATGGGAAGACCTTTCCACACCGCGTCGTGACCTTAACCAGCCACATGATCTGTAATTACATTTAGGTTTATTCATAAGCAAGGTCAAGTAGCTTAGCGTTTTGTCCTCCAGAATATTGTTATATCCACCTTTTGTGGAGGTAGCAGGCTCATCGCTGCTGTACAAACCTCCATCCTCGTGGCTTCTCCGCCTTTAACAATAGGGACAGTCTTCCCTGAGTGTATCCGGTACTGTCCAATAGAGTGGCCATTGAGATTCCTGATTGGCTTCACTATAAAGAGAAGATGCACACAGAGGTTGAATAAAAGGGAGGAGCATTGTATATGTGCATGAAAGAAGACGCCCTGTTACCTTGATACGTTTTCCCATCAATCTCCACTTCATAAGACTCCATGACTTCCTGAATGGTCTCACCAACATCGCACAGGCGCACATCAATTCCTGCAAACTAAGGTGACCACTTTTTAATGGATGGTTACTGAAATGTGAACCAGATACTAAGAGGACAAGTGCAATTTGTGTATTCCATCATTTATTGCAACTTCCTTATCTCCTGATTTATGTGAGTCTTGATACGCGGACCCTTTAGTCATTGTCCTCGGGGACTTGAACAAAGGAAATCTCAGCCGTGAACTTCCTAAGTACAGTTTATTAAATGCCCCAGCAGAGAGGAGAACACACTGTTACACCACAGTGAGCCGGGCTTATCACGCCGTCCCTCGCGCTGCGCCGGGACTCTCTGACCACGTCATCGTCCATCTGATTCCTGCATACAGGCAGAAACTAAAGCTCCGCAAAGCTGTGCTGAGGGAATTCAAGAGGTGGACCAGCGAGGCGCTGGAAGATCTTCGTGCGTGCTTTGACTGCACAGACTGGGATGTTTTCAGGACTGCTACTGACAGTCTGGATGAGTTCACAGAGGCTGTAACTTCCTACATCGGCTTCTGTGAGGACAGCTGTGTACCATCATGCACCAGGGTGAGTGACAACAACGACAAACCCTTAAATACAGGTTCATAAGGCGGTGAGAGGCGCTACTCTGAGAAACTTCAACGACACTTCTCAGCAAGCGACTCTTGGTTTGGAGGCTTTAAACACCTGACAAACTACAAGCCAAACCCCCCCAGTCCATGAACGGCCTCCGGCTGGCAGACGAGCTGAACGAGTCCTACTGCAGATTTGATAGAAAACGTCCTGACTCCATCCCCCACAGCTTTTTAAGGTAACGTATTCATACTAAAGAAGCCACGGAATTTTAGAATAGTGACTTTTTCCATTTGTGCACATTTGCTACATATTGAATTTCTTTATTTTACCTTTTGATGTATCCATCAATTTAGTTTTTGTTGTCATTTTTATGGTACACATGAATCAATAATTGTATTATTTTAGAGGATGAAGTGTAATACCTTGCAGTCTAGACTTATATATTAATGTAACTGTGATCCGAACTAAGATCTTTATTACCTTTATGCCGGTGTTTGTTGCATCTCTTACGGCCTCCAGCAGCCTGTCATACTTTGGATTGAACGTGACGGTGAAGGCACAGTCTATTATTCTACCTAAAAAGACAAAAAGGTCCGGTTAATCAGTTTCTTCCTTCAGCAGAAACATTCAGAATGTAAGAATCTAAAAAGTGCTGCAAGTTAATGAACTCACAAGAACAGCGTGTTCTGGCCGTAAAATGCCCCAGCGCTTTAAAAGTTTATTAGCGCGCTCTCACCGTTGATGTGCGTTCCGAAGTCTATTTTGCAGACGTCGTCGTAGCGCAGCACCGTGGGGTCTCCTGCGTTGGGGGTGTAGTGGGCAGCACAGTGGTTGATGGAGCAGCCGGTGGGGAAGGCCAGGCCGGCCTTTAGCCCGTTTTCTTTGATGAGCCTCCTGGAGCAGTCCTCCAGCTTCTCACTGCCAGCAACGGAAAGCAGCACAAAAGAACAAAGAATGACGGGAACAATGAGACCGGCGTCCGGGGCAGACAATGCATCCACAGCAGGTTGGAACCACAAAAGGCGGGTCTGCTTTCTTGATGATTTTAAAAACAGTCAATTTCAGGTTAGGACAAAAAGGTGCCGAAATCAATGGTCCGTCACAAATGACCGCGGGCAGGCGTGAGCAGCCGAGATTGCAGGACAACATCTCAGTGCACGTCTCACCAGATGTCAATCATGGTCATCCCCGGTTTGATCCAGCTGCGGACGTACGTGCGGACGTGCCGATGTGCTTCAGCCGCTTCCCTGAAATCACTCCACATCTCCTCGTTGGCCATGTCCAGGGCCCCGCTTTCTCTTTCACTGGTGGTCCGCCACGCTGCACTGCGCCTGGAGAGGGTGGGGGGGGGGGGGTGTAAAACAGGCGTACCACACATACCACAATTAATAATTGCAGGTGAAAGTTGTGTTGTCAAACCTGAAGAAATGAATTTGCACCTAAGCAGGAAATTAAACCAGGTGCTAAATATGAGGCAATATAGGCATGTCACATGCAAGACTACTGCCGAGTGTGGGGGACGGCGTGGAGGTCACACACCCGTCTTTCGATGGTGGATATTCACACTCCTCTCCCTTTGGAAAGTCTCCGCTGGGATACAGCTCACAAATAGGGATTGAGGGAGGGTCAGTCTGTCCCTTCACTGTGGCCCAGATAGTGAGAAGCGGAAACAGATGAAAGAGAAAACCAATTATGTCTGTGAATACATAATAATAAGCGCTCATATACAGGGGTCATATCGATATGTAGGACATAGATGTCGTGAATGTTGACCGGTTTGTCCGACTTGTACAGTGTCCTACGATGTGTAGGACAAAATGTGTCTGTCCTACAGTACGGGACTGTCATGATACTAATCGACCAAGTGAACCTGCTTTTGTGTACCTGTTGTATGATTCAAACACCTGAGAAGCTTTTTATTGGAGCTCTATCAATCAAATCCGATGTGACCTTGAGGCACTAAGTATTCCTTCACTCGGAAGGGGACTGCAGTTTTAATTCAAATTCTAAATTGAGTACATGTGAATTTAATCCAAAGTAATCAGGTGCAGAAAAAGGTCGTACAACCTTTCTTCTTTTTTTTCTTCCTCTTCTTCTTTTCCGCTGAGTTCTCTCCATCTCCATCTGTTAAGATCGTCATTACTTTCAATACAGTTTGTAAAGCGAAGACCGTCGACGAGAGCTTGGGCACAATCCCCAGTGTGCTAATGAAAATCAGACCTCACATTGCAGATGTGACCGGCTGAATTTCAGATCAACACGGTCACCACAGCTGATGATGATGATGATGATGGTGGTGGCAGTGGTGAGGAGTTACCTTCTTCTCCGTCCTCCTCCCTCTCCTTGTCCTCTACTGTCTGCTGCTCCAACTGTTTGGTCACATCAGCAACACCTCTGGCTTCTCCATCCCCCTCAGCTTCGTTTGTCCCTGCTGCAAAGTCACACACACACACACACACACACACACACACACACACACACACACACACACACACACACACACACCCGTGCATGCATGTGCAGGTGAACACGCACGTGTACACCAATGGCATGCATAGATGGACACACACACACACACACATGTATGGAGTAAGTAATTTATGGTTCGGTCATTTTAAGAAAGTGCATCCACTACAATCTCAACTTGGCAATGTTTGTGCATAATTTCTTTGGAAGTCAATATCTTCAAGGGCACACGTACGTTGCAGCATTATGACATTTAGTCCTTCAAAGAGCGAGCTGTGTGACAACACTTTACTTTATAAAGGTCTAAAAAGTCGAGGTGTTGTGGAATTTATTCTTCCATATTACCAGGCTTTGCTCCGTTTTCTTTTTCTTTCTTTACCGTGCGGTTGTCATCTTATGGCACTAAAACTGGATACTTCTATTACATAATTCCATGCAGCTTAGGGGGATTTATAAAACATATTTAATCTGGAGTAAAAATGAAACTGTGTTCCGACCACATCTTGTGAAATGACCGCTTTCAAGCAGTTTTGATTCCTGTTTTCAAAGATTGTCCCCGTGTGCAGACGAGCTCCGCTGCAGCCGCTCCGGGCTGGGACAGCTGGACAGGTTGCGAAGTCCCCTGTCCCGCAAATCTGATGCTCGTGCTCTTTATCGAGTTGTCCTGTAGGAGACAATTTCCCGCAATTTCACTGGTGCTGGCGGATCTTACCTGGTGTGGTGATCTTATTCCTCTTCTTCTTTCTTCTCTTTTTCTTCACTGTCCCTGGGGCGCGCGGGTCTTCTCTCTCCTCCATCAAGTCGCCCCCATTGAGAAGTTGAGGCTCCACTTGAAGCTCCGCCATCGTCAGCGACCGAGGGACGAAGTGACGCATGAGCCGCTGGGAGCCTCCAGTGGTCAAAGTGGAAACGTGTGCTGAAGGAATCTGAGACGACAACGAGCCGGTAAGAGCGCAACAACTGGACCGGAGAAGCCCCGAGGAAGACGATCCTCCATCCTCGTGCACGTGTCACCAGATCTGATTGGAATGAGACTAGTGATGCGACTGATGTAAAAAAAAAAAAAAAAAAAAAAGAAAGAGAAAAGGAGCTTCACTGCATCCCCGAATTCTCACTTTATCCGTCCAGTCGAAAAGTTTCGGGTTACTGTGCGTCTGTCCGCTGCCACTTTTCTGTGTCACTTCTCCAGATTGTAAAACACCGCATGCGTGTGCGAGATACTATATGTATCTTTGAACCTGTTAATGATCCCTCTCTGCAGCCAACAAAATAAAATCGGATTAAAAAGGGGCACGAGGGAACATTTTGCATTTTAATTCAACACATTAAAGAGTGCAGTCGGAAGACGCGACGCAAAGGTAATCAAACTTAACTCTTATCACCACAAAATCATTGCACGTTCTCCTCGTGCCACCAATGCATATTTCTCATAAAGGGACCGGAGGTGATTTGATGAGCCGCCCAGAGGCTGCCAGGGGAAACATGCGGAGATGTTACACCAGATTACCCCCCGTCGGCTATGCACCCAACACAATGGGCGCGTACAAGCGAGCCACCCCTCGGTTATTGAAGTGGCTCGTTCATCCAGTCAGGTGTCTGACTGCGCTCAAGTCAGCCTCCACTCCGAAACAGTGTCAAACCAGCCGGGTATACGCGTCTATACTAGAGATTACGGTAGTGGCGAGTAAGAACTGACTTCAAAATAAGAGCACTGAACGTGTCAAACTCATTCCGTAAGTGTGTAAATCATATAGACATCTGATCATAAGAACAGTGAAAGATACATTTTTAATAGTAATTATTATTTTGTAATTTCAATTGTGTAATTATTTAAATATATTTATAAATAATTAATTTACACATATAGGTAATATCAGGACCTTCTTATCTAGCGTTTTAGACTTACGGCCCTTCAAAATCCAATTCATGAACCAAATTCTGCTGAATTTCAGATTAGATTTGAAAGGAAATGGTGGATAGTTACATAATGATTTCACTTTACATGATATTTACATAATGATAGAATTGCAGCTCAAGATGTCACTCAGGACAATAATTTCAAAATGAAAGCCCTTCAAAATCTCTCCTGGGCCAGTTCACCTCACATTTTAGAATACATTTAATAGCAAACAAACAATAGTTACACAACCCTTCTCAAAGGCTGGTTCCGATTGGACATAATTAGAGCGCCGTGGACCTGAATGTAAACACAACGTATTGCACATATGGTAGTTTATATTTAAAATTAAATGTTACTCACAGGACTTTGATTGCTGAATAAATCAGCAACAGTATGATTACAGGCAAAGAAACCTACTTTGATACGGTTTCTTGGTCTTTAATTTTGAGCTGCAAAAATATATATTCATAAATAATGAATCTAATTCATTGTTTGGTCTCATGGAACTAAATGAGCGAGGGTCCAGCGCACTCATTCACTCCTTAAATCGGGTTTTCAGTCATCTTAAGGCCAAACATATTCCGCTTATTACGAACACAAGAATTTGTTCAAAATCATTTGATTTTGGTGGCCTTCCTATCGTTCCAGCTCAAACTAAACTGCCCTGCAATATACGTTTCTCAATGTTCCACTAATGCTTGAAAAAGTAACGCAAGAATAAACAATCTTGCCTTCCTGTCTACACATTGTCTTACTGCTAATTTGATACAAATGTAATGGTCTCCAGAAAAGAACTGAACTTCAACCTTTGACGTTTTCAATCAAAACATTTTTCAGAAGGATTCTCCGTTGTATTTTGTTATGTTTTATAAGAGAATTTCAGGACTCAGTTCTAACTACTTTTAGATAAACATTAAAAGGTAGACAAAATAAACTGAAAGAAAATGATCATTCGAGTTAAGAAGGTAAAAGAGCTTTCTAAAGTTCTGAGTAGTCGACACTAAATGCATTCTGTACCCCAAAACCTCTGGTAGGAACTGAAACACAGAACATTGTTCTCATGAGGCAGATAATACAAAATTGGACACTTTAAAAACTCAAAATTGCTACGACTGTCTTGACACAATCAATTTCTTCAGGCTAAATATTGGACCAACTGAGGCAACAGCTTTACTTCATATTTGAAACAATTAGATTTGAAATCTACAACATACAGAGAAGTCTACTTCAACTGAGAAATAAAACATCAAGGAAAACGCAAATGGTCCTACTTAAGATTCCTCAAGCTGCAAATTATACATGAACGTACCATGCAGGTCATAACAAAATAGTTGAACATACATTGAACGTGAAAATTATTCTCTAAACTTAAGCACAGGGAGAAATGTGAGTGAGGTGAAGCTGTAATGGAGTGAGTAGCTGGTCTGACAGGATCATCGGGGCTCATGTAGCCTGGCGGGCTTCCTCTGAGGTACCACTCTGTGATGCAGCAACCACTAAAGCCGTCTTAGCCTCTTGCTCTTTCGTCATGTCTTCCCCCACGTTTTCCAATGCAGCGTTACCTGGGGCTGCAACATCCTGGGGGTTTGTGTGGCAGGCTGGCACATCTGGCCGGACTATGCCCATCTTGTCCTGAGCAACTGCTTCTGAAGGGCTGCTGTCCGTGGCCCCCGGGTCCACAGCAGGCCCGTTTGCGGCCGTCTTGTCTGAGGCCACATGTTCCGTCCTCTCCACGTAGAAGAGGATGTAGGCCTTGGCCTTCCTCACCACGTCCTCATTTGTCAGAGTCACCGTGCTGTCGTTGAAGTGGTACCATTGGCTCTCGTGGCTGCCGTATGCGGTATAATGCCCTGATCCAACCCTGTGAAGACAAAGACACACACACACACACGTCACGTTCTGCTGCCTTGCTTCTGATCAGACTGCATTTATTGCTGCTCACATTTAGCTCAGCAGTGCAACATCGCCACTTAGAGGGGAGAGATAGAACAGCAGTGCCTTGATGAACACAGCCTGCGCCTGATGCCTTGAATCTTTCACTACCAGGATTTTCTACAAAATTCCATCTGAATTGTTTGGCCAAGCAAATTATTATTGCAAAAATGAGTAAATTCAGGAGTCTGGTATTCCTCTATTGCTTGGGAGGAGACTTTGGGGAAAGGCTTAGGATAAGGTGTGTGTGAGTACTACTTTAAAGTAATTCACTTCATGTTGGCAATCAGGCAGGTCATCAAAATGAGATATGCAATTATTAAAATCCCTGTATATGATGGAATAGTGGCTTTACAATGTGCCTGCAACACAAAGCCCTATGAGCAGCCTCTATTCAGAATCATTTAGTTATATGAAATATGTATTTGTGCAGAATAAAAACAGTAGACTAATCAAAACAGATGAGGCCTCAACATATAGGAATTTCAAAATTTCTTTAAAAAGAGGGATACTCACCCAGACCCATGATGCACCACGACGGCAACAAGGTCATACAGGCAGTTTTCTGGTAAGGAATTCTCCGGCTGCAAACAATAAAAGACAATATATTTCTTTTAAAAGGACAGATTTGGTTTTAGTTAATCACTAGTTTGGCAAAGGAACAGTCACACTTGTTTGTATATAAAGAGACTTTCTATATTTAAAAGTTTATTTTTTTCGTGCTGTCTGCGGCTTCTCAGTTTGTGCCCAACTTACAATGCAGCCATTTAAGTTCAGTCAAATTCCACTTCAAAGTCAGCTCTTTCACTCAAAATCTTTCCATGGTCTGAATGGTCTTGATTTATTTAAGTCAGAAAACTATACCCTTCATTACAAAAGGTTTTCAGTACTCCAAGTTCTTGTGAAGTTTCAGGGACAAACAAAAATTCCAGTTAGACCATTTGGCCAAATTTGTGTTTCCCTTTGAATCTTCCGTAACAGCAGACACAGAAAGTCTTTGTGAGGAGGATTCAATTGTTTTTATTTTCAAAACTGCAGTTTGCTTTTACTGCAGCGATACTGCAGTTCGCCTCTAATGTGGGCTCGTCATGTTTAGACTCACCTCAAGTAAGTAGCACCTCATGTCCAGGCCTTTCAGTGGAAACTCCACATACGTATCCACCTTGTTTCTTAAAAAGGCCGTCCAGTGGAACCTTTTTAGGTGCAGACACAAAACCTAATAAAGTAGGAAATGAAACCTCTGATTATACAGTAACACAATACTTTACCAACTCTTGTAATTGTAAAAAGAATGATGAATTTCTGTCTCTACCTTTGGAAGCTTCTGAATCCAGAACTTCTTAGTGGATTTCTGTCGCTTTTTACACTTATGGCAATAGTACAGCTCAGTTTCATCTAGTTCTTCCAGGTCAGTGAAGCTACGTAAGCAGTCTAAAACATAAACCAATACACACGGTCAGACCAATTGTACAATAAAAAGAAACTGCCCAATGAGTCAGTTGCTGAGACAACGGGGAACTTACCACGCACGGTGCAGGTCGGCCCCGGCTCCTGGTCCTTACTTCTCTTTTGTCTGAACTGGCTGGGAATGTCCAAAGACAGATCTGAGTGAAGACGAATGGGCATAAACGCTCAAATACACCATAAGGCTTTAATAATACACCCGCTTGACTAATTGTGTCTAAAGAAAATGAAAAGTATTTTCCCCATTTTGTATGTGGCCATTTACAAAACAGTTGTCTTAAGGCCCAAACGCACTGAAAGCTGAAGTTGACACGGATCAATTGATGGTCTCATGGCGCCAACACCACAGAACCATCACTATTTTAGAAAACGTTGCTATTCAGAAAATATTTTTGTATGTTAAAAAGTTTAACGCAACAAGAAAATGATGTCACGTGATCTGCAGGATGAAATTCCGCTGTCGGCAGTTATTTGGGCGCGCACCTGTACGGACTATATTGCATGAATAAAACAGACTACATCGGCTACAACAGCTTCATGCACTGGTTTGATTATTTGCCGTTTCATGCCAAGGAAAAGTTCCATGTTTACTGCACAGCTCGCTCGTAGCGTTAAATGTCGGTACTGTAAAACTTTCAGTTTCAATTACTGAATAAAGCCTGAGAGAGAGAGAGAGAGGGGTCTGCAGTCTTGTTAAGTATGTTTCAACTTAAATAAAGTACCTATACAAGTAGTTATTTCTTGTTGTATTAATTTTTCCTGGTATTGACGTGTCTAATGCGCAACCAGATATTCGAATACATGTGTTTTTTTAAAGCGAATGCCATTTTTGAGCAATTTTGACAGCCCTAGTATGCAGCGCTTATGTGTGGTTAGGACATTTAAAAAAAAAAGGTGTACTTCAGAAAATGCATGTCAGACGCTTTTAGTTCGTTTGGGCATTTACCAAGAAATGGATCAAATTTCCGAGATTCTGTCCCACAAATCAGGCAGTTGACTTCATTCTGGAGTATGCCACCAAAATTGGATGTGACGACACTGGCAGTCCCATTTCTGTAAAGAATCAACAAGGCAAACAGAAGATCAGTTATCAATTACACAATATTCAAAACATACTGTAATTCAGACCAGGCAACGTTGGTAAATGCAATTATTTGCTACATTTAAGACATACGCAGCGTACGTGTCTTAATGTGGCTTCATAACTCTAAACTCAACTGAAAAACAGGACATACATACACAAAATCATTTCGGGGTTGCATAGGCTTACATGTAGCATTTGCCATCCGCAGTGGAGAATCTGACCCCATCCTGGGGGCAGACCGGGTGAGACGCCCCGTTGCGACTGTACTGCAGCTCCCTGTGGAGGTGGTCCAGCAGGTATCGCATGAACTCATGTGCATCCTGCTGCTGATAGCCCCTGGACACAAACACACAGCTCTAAATGGCATCGTTCCACTCGGACTATGCCGCGCTTTAGGCAAATTGAATGAAAGCACGACTGAGAAGGAAACTGAATGGTGCTGAGCGTGAGGAGCTTAATTCCCGGCAAATTCTCTGTAGGCACTTTGCATACCTAAAACTGGGCATGATTTTCCACATAGCATAAAAAAGGGAGTCTGGACTGAAGGCGGTCTGGCTTCCTTGCCACAGGGAACAAAGGGTTTTCCTGAACTCCTCCACCAAAGACCTGTTCAACACAAAGCAACCCTGTCACCCAGATGCACCACCTGGTTACAATAAACGGAGGAAACCTGTATGGTTGTTGAATTGGTTTTTACTAAGGGAACTAGGATTTTTTTAATACACGCCACACAAACCCAAACTTCTGTCACATTGTATTAGAACGTACAGTGCTTTCCTTCATTTAAACACCATGTCTGTGTAACTTGCTGAGTATATTATTCTAGTCTAAAATTAGGATTTAGGAATATTTATAAGAAGATCTTCTTCCACGACCCCCAACAAGGAACGATTTGACCAATGTAGAACTTGCTGGGAATAATGGAAAGATCATTGCACTCAGCCCATTAATCCTTCCTCCAACAGAATAGGACCTTACACACTGGTTTCTCCTTGGCTTCGGGTGTGGTACATCCTTCTTCCTGCAGTCTTACCGCTGCGTAGTGACACTGCAGGCAACTCCTTGAAATAACAGCTGAACTGCTTGATGTTGCTGTCGAAGAAAAAAAACATTTTGTTAGAACATGCTTCACACCAGAGATAGCAGGTTCAACCACACATACAACGGGCAGGAACACACATTTGAATCATTCGAATGGTCTACAAATAACATTTCTTGATAACATGGTTGACATAAACTATAGATAGAGAAATAAAAAAATCACTCATGAAACAGCTTCATAATTTTCTGTATTTTAACACCATACAAAAATGTGTGGTAACTAATGGTTGCCTGGAAAGAAGTAAAGATTTATTAATAAAAATATATTGCATGCTTTGGTAAATGGTCAGAAGTACTATAAAAATGTAGTTGATGAAAAAGTATTGCAAAGAAACACCCCAACTAAGGTGTGTGTTAGCTGGGAGATATGTCCTTTGACTGTGTCCTGTTCCCAACAGCTTGAGCTACTCCCCTGATTGTGCCCCAGACTGTATTAATAAAGGATGACCGGTCATGGGGCCCTGGGTCTACAGTAGCAAAAGCTACTGAACCATGCTGCAAACCCAGTTTACCACCCACATACTGCATCTTTAGTGACCTTGCCTGAGAGACTGCAGAATGGCATTCATGAAGCATGTATTTCCTAAGTTCCGCAGACCTGTGGCACCTGAAGCTGCTCCTTCCTGTCAAAAACAAGTGAAATGCATGAAGATGTTAATACGCAGTAAAAATAAAATAGAGTCAAACCAAGTTTGAAGCGTACATGTAAAGATAGTGTGATAACCACCTTGTGTATAGTTTTAGCAATAGTACAGTATTTTGTGCTAAAACGCTGCTGTGAAAAGGCTCTAACCTTCTTTTCAAAAGGAAATCAAATTGTAATATTTTCAGCCACTAACATTGTCTTTGAACAACTTGTTATTTGCAGCAGAGTTTTCCTGAAGTTTTCTTTTCCTCTGTCTGTCTCCCATCAGTACGGAGCTGCGGGAAGGAAAAATATATCAAGACACTCATCTTGTGTTGATGATGTGAAATATATTGTAAAATATATTTCACCTTTGGACATTCTATCAAAAATAATGTAACAATATAATTACGCATTCGGCAAGTTTATTGATTATAAATTGACTTACTTTTCTAAACTCTGCAGATGTTCCCTGACCTTCTGCACCTGGCCAAGCTTGGTGTCATTAACAACAAACTCATCACACCTGTAACTATAAAATCCACATTAGTTGAGACAGATACAAGCTGGAACCATCACCTCATCTAGATTCTGACTTAATAAAAACACTATGATAAATATATTGTACTGTGTTCAGCATGGTAGCATGCATTATTTAACCATGTGTACATGTGGCAGGAGTGATTACCAAGACACTTACCAAAATATGCTGTAGTTGCTGCAGTCCATGCAGATAGAATGATGGGATTTCTCCTTCTCCTGTTTCTCGCCCTTCTTTTGACTGCCAATGCGTTGACTCTCTTCAAAGTGTTTCTTTGCATGCCCATTGACATATCTATATTAGATAGATTACTTTAGGAAACAACATATAGAACCAACAGAAAATAATCTAAATATTTAAGTATAGACCTATATTATGCTCACATTTCAAAGAATCTAATGAAGTAAAACTTCATTTTTTAGCCCTAATGCACATGATTTGACTGTATTTCAAGAATTCTAAAATATATAATTTTGATCCTTCTGAATAAACCGGTTTCTGCTGTACAATAAGTAATGAGACAAAGAAGCTGCAAATGAGAGTTGTAAACAAAACGTCAACAACGTACCTCCCACAATGGATCATCAGACAGGTGAGGCAAATCCATGGGCTCTTATTAGACCTACACACTGGACATCAAAGCAGGAACAGGTCTTCAATGTAGAGGAATGTCCCTTAACGTCAACTTAAGCATCGTAGGACGAAAGGATGACAAGCACGTCTCTTACCGTTGCAGCACCAGGAGAGCGGAGCGCCGTTCGGGAGCCGGGAGGTGTCGAAAGGGCAGCTGACGTTGGAGTTCAGATGAGGGCACTCCATCAGCTCACGATCGGAAGTCAGCTAGCTCAACGCTACAAGGAATAAGGCAGCTAACAATAGTTAGCCAATTCACCTACACAAGCTAGCGACAGTTAGCCCGGCACAACTACTTCTGCTCGCGACCGCACGTTTTCCCGTCTTTACTCACGCTCGGCCGTCTGCTAGCTAACATTATTTCTCGCACGCTATCAGGATAGAACGGGTTACTGACAATAAAAGCAATGCCGTGTAAACCCTGCCGTATTGTTAGTTGAAACAAGGAGGTTAGCTCTGGTGTACAAGATACTTGGTAACTGCTGGCGTTTGCCACAAACAAATGGAAATACCTCGAGGAAGTGACGTAGTTTCTGCCGGTCAGAGCTTTTCTCCGTTCGTTATAAAACAGAGATGAAAACGCTTCTGGGAGTCATTTACGTTTAACTACTTCCTCCTTCGCGTATATTCTTCAGCTAGTTTGACGATACCACGTGGGCCCCACATCCGGAATGGTGTTTTTTTATCGTATTAATACATACCGACATATAGAAGCTCATATATTTAACCGAATTAAGTCAAGTTGTAAAGCTTCCAATTACTTTAGAAGTGTTGTGCATGCGTAGTGGCCTCACTTCCGATCGTTGCATATTGATAATATACAAGCAACTAGTTCTGTCATTAAGTTTACATTAAGTTCAAAGTCAAGATAGACGGACAATTAAGTCACAAATCAGATCCTGAGTCGCGACATATTTTTGAAAATGTAATGCATTTCATCATCACACTAAAAAAGATTGGGTTAAAAATATGTTGTTGTTGTTTCATAACTCAACCGCTGGGTCACTATTGCACCAACCCAGCAGTAGGTAATTTGACCCAGCACGATGGGTTTGTCATTTTAACCCAACAGATGAGTTATATATTCTACCCACATGCTAGGTCAAATTAACTACAATTCTGGATTGTTTCAGCTACATATAGTTGTTATATATTCTACCCAAATGCTGGGTCAAATTAACTACAATTCTGGGTTCATTCCACTACACACTATTTGTTGTCCATAAAACTGTTCAACTACAAACCTGTAACAAAATACATTGATGTTGATCATGCAAAGCACATATCATAATAAAAATAAAAATTAATATATCATAAAATATCCACAATACAAAAAGGAATTGTAAGTTCAAATCACTCAACAAAATGGGGCTGCAACTAATGATTATTTCCATTATCGATTAATCAGTCAATTATGTAAATGGTTACTGGCATTTTATAAACAAGTCTGCAGGAATTCCCACACATGTTCACATTGCTTCGGGTATGTCATGATTTACTCAGTAAACTTGAGAAATTATTTATGAGCGTAAAATCACAAATTTCCACAAGTCTATAGTTTAACGTTAGCTATTTTAAGCTAACTAACGTTAGCTTACTACTAATAGCCAAACTTGGCCATAAGCAATAGCTTTTTAAGTATGGCGGCCAATCACTGTCAAAATTTGAGAGCGCAAATCAGGTTGATGCGCGCGCGTAAATCAAACATCCGAGCTGGGCGCATTGCTCTTAATGTGCCGGTAATGATGGTAAATTATGGTTATAGGTGGTTGTCATCTACGGTCCACTACGATTACCGAAGGGGGACGTTTGTTTTTTACAACGTTTTATCTCGTAATTTCGACTTTCTATCCCCCTTCTTCAGTGCATAAATGGGATTCTATAGTTGTGTGGCTGCATCACTCCAGCCAATCCAAAGACGGGGTTTGTAACCAATCAGGTGTAGAGACCATGGTGACTGGCTCCGCCCCCTTACTGTCAGAAAGAAAAACAGCGAGCGCGTAGAAAACACCTTCGAGCGCGAGCAGAGACTAACCTCGCGAGCAACGAGGTTCACGTTTCGCGAGTGAGCAAATATCTCGCGGAAGATGAACTTTTGCTCGCGCGAGACGGAGATTTGCTCGCGAATGTTTGATTTGCGCTGTCGAATTTTGACAGTGATTTGCCGCCATATTTAATTCATTTAAAACTACTGCAGCAATGTATACTATGTGTAGGATTTATCAAGTTTCCTATTTAGGATTTAATTAAAAAAGCATTTTGATGAATACAAGCAGGATAAAACGTTCTTACCTTGGCAGCTCCTGATCCAAAAAGGGAGTGTTCTTGTGTCACTGTAGGGTCAGGCGTTACTGGCTGTGTGGGGTTACCTACGCGCTTTTGCAGGGGTTTTTGCAGACCTATAGAGTTCAAAACAACCCAGCTGCTGGGTCAACCGATGTATGTTGGGTTGATGAATTTTGACTCAGCGCATGAGTTGCACAAAAATAACCCAACCCCCCTATAAATAACCCATAATGGGTAGAACATGTCATAACTCAGCGTTTGGGTAGATGAAATAACCCAGCAGTTTTTATACGTTTCCAAAATGCATGATTACTTTGTAAAATAACAAAGACTGTTCAAATATATATGATAGAATAACTTCAAGGTTGCGAAATTTAGTGTTTTATTTACTGATAAACCTTTATTGAGGGACTGGAAATGTTAAAAGTCAGATTAGTGAGGACAATGATAATGTCTTTAATATCTTCAACTACTACAGTTTTTCCAAAATAACAAAGTAAGAGATTGTTATGCAAAACCGCTTTTATTTCGAAATACAAGGCATGAGCGTAAACATTTGAAAACAAAAGATTCACAAATGCTGATCCAGAAAACATAATAACAGAGAGGGCATGCGCTTCACAAAAACACCTCTAAATATATGTGTTGGGTTGAGAATTCAAGGCACGTTCCTTCAGATACTTTTCAGCAAATCTTTGAGCGAGGTGGTGAAGTTATATTCTGGAAAAACTAAGATGGTCACAAGACTACATCGTAAGACAGCATTGGGGTTATAAGCAGATGAGTACCTCATTTGGGAATAATGCAGTTCTGCTCTTGTTTGTTCTTGAGTGTGAGTAAATAAACATTGTGAGAAATGTCTGTCACAATTTCCAAATTGTTTCCTCCAGCTGATCCAACTATATTCTGTCTATCACAGCAAAGCAGCTGGAAATCATTCCAATAACAAATAGTTTGAACAAAGAAAACCATTGACAGTCTTCTTGGAAAAAAAACTTCAACGATTATTCATTTAATCATAATGGTTTCAGTCAAACAACCGATCAATCAATTCACAATTTTTTTGCCACTGTGGTTTCTTTTGATTACACTTTGATGTAAGATTTATTTAAATTACTCAATGAAAGTACAGTTTAAGGCCTCAAGGAATAACACAACTCAAGAAACATCACTCTGCACATGTTGTACGGGAAACAAAAAAGGAATGTAAATGGATTTTACATCAGTAAGTAAAAAAAAATCTAAATTCAACTGAAATGCGTTGATCAGTTATGTTTGGTATTAAGACTATTAGTGTTATAATACACAACCATGCTGATAAATGTCACCGTCCAGGTGACATGTTGTCTACGCCGATTCATTCATGTCCCCCATCTGAAGAGGTGCGCCAGACTGAGGTTCTTTACTTTTCGCTTGTGCCTTCGCTTTGGGATTCTTTTTCCTAAAAAAGAACCATAAATATCAATAAAAATACAGGAAAGTAGCCACTAAGTGTAAGTAATGTCATTGGATTTTAGAATTAATTCTTATATACAAGTAAAAAAAAGTAGTCTCACTTTGACTGAACGGTCAGGACGATCACAGTTACCAAGACTGCGACAACAATGATGCCAAGCAGAACTCCACAGACGATTGCTGTGGAAGAGCACAGTTGAGTAGGATTCATTTAACTAGATTGAACCCTTGAGCTATAAGACGTAATAGTTTCATGCAGCTAGTTTCAACTTGTTTGAGCCTGATGTAAAATGTAAAAAAAAACAAAAACAGTTTGGACTTAAAGAAACGCAACAGAAACAGGGATCTGTTCTGCTTGGTTTCGTTGACTACTGACCAATAGGAGTGTCCGGCTCCTCTTCCTCCTCTTCCACACCATCATCTAAGAACCCAAACAATTAACATCATCAAGACGGGATGACTTTTCAACAGGCGCAATTGACAGCAAACAGAGAGAGATTGGTGCTCACCGTGGATGCCAGAACAGGTGGTGTTGCAACTCAGTTGGTCAAAAAACCTGTTTCCGTTTCCGAAGCAGCCAGTCCAGAGGAACTTCTTGCATTTGTCATGAACAGAATCGTAGTAGTATCTCAAAGACTTAGCATTGCATCCACCTTCGGCCTTTTTAAGGTGGCAAACGTTGGTCGCTGCGAAGAGAAAACATCATCCCCATCCGAGTAGTCATTACCAGTGTTGCAGTTTATAATTATTGTTAGTAAATATCTTTCAAAAACGCAAATATGATTGATTATGTATGACACTGCTTTTCTTCAGAATTAGATGATGAATCCTTTCTCAATCAATACACTAAAGCCATCTTTATCTGTCATAAGTTGTGCCAGTCTTCTGCCACTTGGGGGCGCATTGCTTACACTCTTGCTGACCAGTATCTTCTCTGCAGAAAATAAGTGATGAATTTATTTTTAGCAGTAATGGTATTGATATTGCATGGCCCTACTTAGACACAGTAATAGTTTGGTTGAGGCAGATCTCAAGAAGCCCTTCCTCTCATGGTACATCAGGCCATAAAACTCCCCCTCATTAGTCAGATTCATGTTCCAAAGTTCTTACAGCTAGGAGGAAGGACTGGGTTGATTAGACACATTTATGTTGCCTATAAAGTGGAATATATATTTAATATTATGCTGTGAATACTGAAAACAGAGCAGTGAATGAAGATAAATCACATTAATCTTCTTCAAAATCATCTCACCTTTCATCGGGTAGATCGCCTCTGCATTGACGGAACAGTTCCTTATGCACTCTCTTTCACTTTGAAACCGGTTGCCATTTCCTCCTTGGCCTTTGTAAAAGAAAGGATTGCACTGATCGCTGACGGGGTCATAAGACAAAGCAAAGATGAAGCTTGAACCTTCACCTGAATCAGCTGGCAACTGACAGAAAGCTGTTGGGTACAAAAGAACAACTGTTAGTTTGATGGATGCTGTTTGCAAAAGGTGATGCTCTGGTGTTGTGGTTTCAAAAAGTATATGCTACAGAGTAAGCAGGTGAGTTTAACATTGCGCAATTTCTGTATGATAGGTGTTTCACCTCATCAGCACATAACTAATGTTTAACTAATCTCTCCACCAGATACCCACTCCCTCTCTTTATGACAGCAATAAAGACTATCACCCAAGGTACATATTCAGTCTTCCCGCCCTTCATGGATTTCACAGAAGGGAAGTGGTTTCAAACGGTTGTTTAAAGAGTTTTTTAAACAAAAAATGCACTTGATTTTTGAGGGAATCTAACTTAGTAACTAACTGGCTATTACTAGGTGCTCAATATTTTGCCAGGCTGGGAGATGAGGTGAAGTTGCAGGTTGACATAGTGTCAGCTCGTCATGCTCAGGCTCAGACACAAATGATCTCAGTGTTTAAAAGTTTGGAATTGTCCAGTCAACAACATTTCCAGGAGAGTAAAAGTACAGTAAATACCATCTGTTCTTTTTTTGGTCACATCTAAAGACAAACATTGTTCGCTTCAGTGGCTTGTTGCAACATGCGCATAAAGTCAGGAAAAAGGTCAAATATGATTATATTTCGCGAGAGATGCATTCTAGACTCATACATTGGACTGAAACATGTTTTTTTCTCCCATCAAGCCATCAATTTTTGTTTAAACATCACAGTTCTGTATAATGACTCTGCCTAATCCATATTGTCTTCCGCCAATGTAACCGCCATGTTGCTCTGAAGAGACTGGAACTTTTTCTTTTAAATGAAAACTAATGAACATCATGTAAAGGATGAAGAAAATACAACTTTTTTATAACTGTGTAAAAACACAAAGCAAATATTTTGTAATCATTCGCTAAAGACGAGTTTGACCGACAGATTTTTTTCTCTTTTTTTCTCAAAAACTAACCATCTAGTCTGTAAAGATTTTTTTGTTACATTTTTACATTAAGAAGAAAACAATTTTAAGTACCTGGAGGATTTGAATGGCTGATGTAGACCGCAGCAAACGCAACCCCCCAGAACAGCAGGTGCTTCATCTTGCTGCCTGCCTTTGTTCAGTCTTGGCTGAAGTGAGTGAGGGTTGTAAACCAGTGGGCTGTGACAACCTTTGGAACGATATTTACCGTGACAACTGCAATCGAAACAAAAGATAACTGCAGGAAAAGATATCTTCCTCTTTATTATACAGAATAAACTAAAAGCGCAACATAATATGCAGCAGTTGGTTAATATTGCTATTGAGTGTTTAACACCGTACCTCTCATTTACAGGATTACTCCTGCTACAAAAAAGCAGCAAACACAAATTTGCATTGATTACATACTGACAAAGTTGTTACATTGTAGATTTGTGTTTTTGTCATTTTAATGACCAATATGCCTTTTGCATGAGAAATTAGACTAATGACTCAAACATTTTGAAGAGGACGTTTTGGAAAATGAAAACCCTCCTGCGGATACATCAGGGAATTATTTCATCCCTTATTTCAGCTTTCCAACATCACAGACTTTCATCTATAGTCCTCATTATAAACCAAATGCAAGTTAAAATAAAACGTTATGAAGTATCATGTTTTTGTAGGCATTATGTTTGTAATGTATACTTTATAACCGCAGATTCTTGGCCTCGTAATGTTTTCTTTGACATATAGTCCCAGGTTGTCTGATTGAACACCAAACCTTTTGGGCAGTTGAGTAGGAAAGAGGGAAGTGCCTTTTACAGTTTTACAACATTTTACAACCTATTGTGTTTTGAACGGCAAGCTTTTCATCAAGCAAGATGAGGCTAGGCAGCCAGGGGCAACTTTGGTTTTGCTCTAAGAGGAATAATATATATTTATACTGTATATATAATCTCTTCACCAGATACCCACTCCCTTTTTTTATGACAGCAATAAATTCAGTCTTCCCGCCCATCATAGATTATTATTTATATAATACTGTATGTGTATAATATATATATATATTATTATACTGAATTGCCTGCGACGGTGACAAAAATAAGAGTGTGTTTGATACCTTATTAAATCAACCTGGGTTGTTTGATGAAATGGATTCGATGGCCCCACCTAGAACACTGTCCCCCAGCTGCCACCACACACTTTCATAGTGGAGGCACACTCGTGCATGTGGACCTATTGTGCAGGTGCGTCTCGTCCTCACAACCGCCTCCTTATTTTTATCCTGCAGCTTCCCAGAATCAGCGGGTGCCACATCTCAGCGTTCCCAGCATCTTCCGTCCAGCCCGAAATGATGGGCGTCGCTTGGATGTGGTGTCGGTGCAGCTGCCACTCTCCGGTGACCCGATGACTCTGGAGGCTGGTTCTGTTGTTGCTATGACGTCGGCGTGCGCTACAATGGAGCTGGCGACACGAGTGGGTTATAAAAGCCGGGTGGAAGGCGCTCTGGTGCTCCGAGCTCCTTCCGTGCACCGGCTTGACATCAGGCTGCCCATGAGGGAGGGCTGTGCAGGGGGGGGATCAAGATGCACTTTCGGAGCTTCACACCCATCGTGTTGGTATTGATGACTTTACTGGCTTTGCTGCACGGTAAGATTTTGAATGCGTGGAGAAAGTTACCTCCGAGGCAGATAAGTACTTTGGATGCACTTTTAGTGATGCTTTTATTAGAAAGAAGGGAATATTTTGTCCATTTAGTGCTTTGCAAAAAAAAAAAAGGCTTCATGGCATTTTAGCCACATGCATTGCACGTGCACTTTCTGCCTTTTTTTTTCTATACATTTTTGTTTAAATTATAAAGTAACTATAATATATGTGGAGGTTTTTCATGGTTAAATTGACAGTGGGAGAAAACTATATGTTTTCTTACTCTTCAGGAGCCAGAAGGACGTACAGTGGTAAGTCCTATAATATTAACAATAGATTGTTTATTCCGTTTGATGCAAATCTCGGAACACCTTATTGTCAGAGAAAATGTTTATTTCCCCACAGAAGTGCTTTGACCTGAAAACACCACAAGACCAAAGAGATATGCGCAGCTTTCTGTGAAAAAAACCCCATGTGACCCTCAAAGACAACCTGTATGACATCATTCCTGTCACCTTATGAAACCAATGTTGAGTACAGACTCTGCAACGTCTGTGGCTTGATGCCTTTGTCACAAGCCTGAAGGTCCATGGGCAACCATGACTGTGTCATAGTGTCACTGCATCACCATTTAGAATATAGGCAATTTGAATGAAGTCAAAATGGAAAAGTTTGAGGATAACTATTGAGGAAAGCTATGTCTATATTAATGTATATATATTCATATTTGTATCTGTAAAAAAAGACAATAACCTCTAGTCTTATTCTGAGAGTAGCGTAGTAGATTTATTCTTCGGTTACAGTCAAACCAGCAAGCGGCCTTGTTATAGTAGTTAGGAGTCTTTAGCACTTATAACACTTTCTGTTGTAGATGTCCCAGCTGAGACGCACAATAAAATCTCTACCGTAACACAAACTAGAGAACCGTTGATGATGTTGATGGTGACCAAAGTTTTCTCACCCTGCTCATGTTTTCTTTTTCTTCCTTTTCCTAAACACTGATGTACTGTTGAACCATTGACTTATATAAATAGTTTCACCATGGAACTCCAAGGCCATTGTTAAAGGGAAAACAGGGTCTAATTAGAACAGCACATGATGTGGACACTGAGTAATTATGGCCATAAGAGTAACTTTCTTCTTTAAAAAAGGCTGAGTTTGCCTACATTAAATTTAGCTTCAAACAAATATTCAGTGATTTAATAGCTTCACTTGATGCCCTTTGGCATGTCTCGTACCATCAATCCACATTTCTCTGGGAACTGACAGTCGGGGCGGGGGCAGGCCTCATGGTGCTTTTTGAGGAATTATGGATAAATAATGAATCAGTGGCAAATATGCAGAAGTGGTCTTTCTATTTTGCTACAATTATGTTCTTTGGGATTTGATAGAATCCATTCATTCTGAGTGAATGAAGTCTCATTCATATCTTTTCTCTTGTATCACCTGAGGTCACTCCGTAAACTGCATGACTCTATCGGGAAATGGGCAGTTTTCGATGTTCTGTGCTTTATGGAAACCCTTCATTGGGAGAGAGACGATGTTCTCACTGTGTCTTTCCACAAAGAACGGTCTGCTTCTCACTGTAGAAAGGGCCAAGAGCAAAGCCGCGGGCCTCTCCCACGCTGCCTCGTGTATAGACAATAATACTTCACTTTGATGGCTGATAAAATACCCAGTACGTCAAGATCGCTTTGGAGCCAATTCCCATTCAACTTCCTGCTGGGGCATGCTTTACACGTTTACTCTTTACAACAGAACCGTTTACGATTAAAATACCAAAAAACATGCAATATGTCCCTACTGGTGTTCTGAGGTGAAACACACTTTTTGGATAAAGGATAAGAGTAGTTTGATGTGGGTTACATTACATGAGACATCTCCCAAAGGTGTTTTATTAATAACAATTTACATTGATGCTGTTACAGGGCCAGAAGGACAACACTACTGGCCAAAGCAATATCCATACTGTGGTGGAGCTTTCCAGTCTCCAATAGACCTCAAGCCGGGGCTGTTAAGGTTTGACCCGACTTTACGCCCCATCGAGATTCAAAACTGCAACCTGTCGCCAAATGAGCAGCTTACACTGGGAAATAATGGACATTCTGGTGAGTATAATTCAACAGCGTTATCAACAAAATGACAAAAAGGTACGGTACGTCAAAATATATTGACATGTAACAGAACTGTGTAATAAATGAGCAATAATTTAAGCTGAAGTGGGATTTAGAAAATCAAAGTGATGTTCAGGTCAATGTATTCTTTGGCAATGATTCGACAAAAACCTTGAGCAGCTGTTCTCGCTGTTTAGGCCTAATTTTTGGGTCAACCTGTAGAAAATGATAGGAGGATCTTCTTTCCACATCTTCACCAGCAATTTTCCATAAGCACTCTCTTATTATGTTAGCTGCCGTGTCATGAGTCATCGGCCTCAACTGAGTCTGACGCGTCTCAACAACAGAAACCAGCTCAGGTTTAATGTCCATTTATATCCAAAGCGCATAGCAATCAGAACATAGACAGCAATGCTCATGTGCCACAAACCAAAGTAAATATATGAATGACTTTGGCAGATGAATATGATTATTCTACTGTGATATAGTTGATGAATTATTTGAATTTGTTTGGAGAAAACAAACAGTCTCAGTCAGATAAAAGTGGGATTGCTGACCCGTGGCGCTGTTGTTTTTTGCTTTTTACATGTCACTTTTATATAGCTGCATATGAGAAATCTGTGGAAAGCTCAGTAGAGACTAAGAAATGCCTGCCCTGCGTCTGTGCGCATTCTGCCCTGGGCAAAGAAGTTTAATCTCTTTGTATGACGTGCCCGGGGGGCTCCACGCCGGCTACCCGAGCGCCCTAACAAGAAGGAGGGGTTTCTGTAATAGGTGCGCAGAGTCTGTTTCTCTGTTTATCTTTCGTGACACCCGTCTGAATTTTGGAAAGGGGCCCCCCCGTCTTTGCCCCATGAAGTAAATAAAGGCAAAACCCCTTTTTAGAGGGGGGGGTGGGGGGGGGGGGGCACTGACTCCCTCACTTCAGATCAAGTTGATGTGTGTGTCAAGTTGATCCCTCGGTTTTTAACTGAAGAAACCCTCCCCCTGCTCTGTCATGTGTGGTGGGGTCTCATGTCTGTTGATCCACAGTGCAAATATCCCTGCCGTCTGAGATGCACATCTCCAGCCTGCCTCACCGTTACTCTGCAGCTCAACTTCATCTGCACTGGGGCTCCTCCGCTAGAGTTGAAGGCTCTGAACACACGGTGAACAGTAAGCAGTATGCAGCCGAGGTGAACAACCCTTGTTACACACTAATTGATGGAAAAAGGTGCTGGTTTAAAAGTTAATTCACACTAGTACAATTTGAGATGCTTGAACTTTACTTGAATGGTCTTTTATACTTTATACTTCATACTACTCCGCTCCATCTGACAGTTAATAGTCATTAAGACTAAGAAAATACCATCCAATAATATTAGTAATACTATGACCAATATATGGGGTGGTACTACGGTATTTCCATCAAACTTTCACATGAGCACCATTTAAATCTATGTGACATGAAGGTGTGACATTTGCTTGGCAGAGGAATGAGAGAGACTGATTCTCTCCGAGGCTTAAAGACGTCGCTCCGCATCTGCATATTACATATATTACTGTTCCAGTTACTTAACACTGTGGGAGACCTTGAGTTGACATGTTCTTGACAGTCTGGAAGAACAATTGGATTATTGTATGAAACATTTTCTAAATAAAGAAACTCAGAATTTTTGTTCAGAGTGTTAAAAATCTTGACAGACTGTAAAGAGAACAATTTGCCTATTTCAGAAAGGCAAAGACATAATTCCAGCGTGAGTTCAGTGTGACAGTGGGGATTAGAGTACCAGACTATTACATGCTTTGGTTTTCAACCACCTCTGGAATGCGTCGCTGTCTGTGCCATTTTATGTGTCGAGTTTGCTCGATTTGACTTTGAAACTCAAAGTTAAGTTTAAAAATGAAATGAAACCCAAATGGTCAAAACATTGGTGCTCACGTACGTGCTGTGAATGGATGGGGTCCAGTCTAGATGCAGGACATGGTCAAACCCGACATCCCAACCCGCACACTCCGCTCGGCATCGGCCAATTGGCTCGTTCCTCCTCACTGAGAGCAAAACACTCGACGAGATCACGACTCTCTGCTGTCTCCTAAATGATGGAACGAGCTCTTTGATGCCATTAGGACCACAGAGAGCCTTCAAACAAAGACTCTACCTCGACTAAAACACTAAAATTGTATCACCTAAATTGTACTTATAATGGCTCTTATCTATAGCAAGTTGTAGATCGGCTTATTTAACGAATTTGCACTTTCTTGTTTCTTGTTCTTCTGAGTTTGAATCCTTATGGTTGAATGCACTTATTGTACGTCGCTTTGGATAAAAGCGTCAGCTAAATGACATGTAATGTAATGAGATGGTTACAACCTGCATACTTTTATGTGACCATCCCTTCGCTGACGGCATTGCGGCCACATGTAAGGTGCTGTGGTTTGACCTGAACCTCTGAGTGCACACGTTGAGAGCATGCATCTTCTCCAGCCTCTCCAGACCACAGCTACTTGATGACATGTTGTTTGCAGTGATGGAATGATGGAACATTGAACATTTCCCAGAAATAGTGCAATGTTTACCTTTTTCCCCCATGTTTCAACAAAGTCTGTAAATACAATTTTGTCTTGACATCCAAACATATGCAGATTGCATTGAATTTGTTCTTTCACTTGGTCTTGGCTCACGTCTCGTTTCTGTCACAGATGCACGTTGTGCACTTTAATTCAGACAAGTATGCCACTATGTCCATGGCTGTGGACAAATCTGACGGCCTGGCTGTGCTTGGTGTCCTGATTGAGGTGAGACGTTGAGGAAGAAATATGGCAACGTGTGAATGTCTTGTGGAGCAGAACCATCTGACTGTGTTTGTACTTACAGGTTGGAGAGTTCAATCCGGCCTTTGAAAAGTTTTTGAGGTTCATCAATGGTATTAAATACAAGAGTGAGTCTAAAATGATGATTTGCATTTTGTAGTTGTGAGTATGATCAGTGCACAATAGCAGCTGCGTTGGGGATGTACAGTCATTTTTCTCTCGGTTTTGGAACCAGAATCTTCTTCAAAGTCTTCACTAGTTCATCCATGTGGACATTCTGGATTTTATTCTGACAATTGTTAAATATTTACAAATGACCAGATCAGAAAGTGCAGGTGCCGGGATTCAACATCAGGGAACTGCTGCCTGCCCGCTTGGATGAATATTACCGCTACGACGGGTCACTGACGACACCCCCTTGCTATCCCAGTGTCCTGTGGACGGTGTTCCGAAATCACGTCACAATATCTCGCACGCAGGTGCTCCTACGTTTTTTTTTTTCTTCAGACATTTCAATACGGTTTTATTGTCATAAGCTTAATTTGTGTATAACGTGCTTTTGTTTTGTTGATCTCCGTAGTTTTTGGCCCTGGCAACATCCCTCTACTCTTCTAATGTCCAAGACTCTGCCCTTGTGTCTCTGAATGTAAACTACAGGAGAACACAACCACCCGACAACCGAGTTGTGCTGACTTCTTTCAAGCAGGGTAAGTACGGTGCTTTATTGTTTCAGCGGGAACGCAAAGGTCACACGAATGGCATAGACACCCCCCCCCCCCCTCTTTCCCCCCCGGACTGGATCGCTAAAGGACAGGTTGAAATGATGTATGTGCATACTTGGCTATCACACTTGTTTAATATCACCTGATTGGGATTGTGCTTTCGTTTCAATGTCTTTATTAATCATCTTTAAAGCTGAATGACTTTGAAGAGCTCGTTTGCATCTTTTAACACCCAACGAATCCACAGTCTCCTGTGACAAAACTGAACAAGTCTGCAACCCTTGGATTATTCTTTAAAGACTGCTTTCATGTGGCTGGCTGGTTTACCACAGTGTGTGGCATTTAGCTCCATATCATTTGGCATGAATGTGCATGTTTTCCTCTTTTTTCAAAGCTTCCCTGCTCAGAGCTGTGCTTTCCTAATGGCAGTGTGGAATCCTGTGCTTTTAGCTTTAATGAGCAACATTTATCAGGCGGTTTGCTGATGCTTTTAGTTCAGCACTGCATGCATGCTGGCCGTGAAGATCCAGTCGATCCGAGAAATATCCCCACAGGCTGGTTTTTTTTTAACAAGCTGCGATTGGATGTGTGTCGATGCAGGCAATGGACTGCAAGGTTCTCTCACAGTTGCATCTCCACTGAGGAGGAAGCAAATTGTTCAGCAGCTGATGGTCGGTGACTTGGCAGACCTGGCTGACGAAGGGCTCTATCAGCTCCTACCGAGTGGCTCAGAGAAGGTCCCCAGTAAGAAGAAAGACTTCAAGAACCAGGAGATTGAGACTCCGGCCAAATCCAAACAACAAACTCTGAATTCCCCCCTTTGGAGGAAGAGCCAAACCGACGGCCTTGTGGGAAAGTCGGGGCCGGCTGAAGACACTCTGTGCTTTGTTTCTCTGGAGCAGAGAGTCACCCTTCAGCAAAAACAGATTCATGCTGAGGATCAGCTGGTTCAGGCTCTCAGAGATGCAGCTTTCCCTGAGCTCAACCTCAAGAGCTACCTGGGCTGTAAGTCGGATTTAGCCCTCCCCACTATCAGACACATTCTCCACGGACGGCCTACAGACGAAGCCAATGAGTTGGAACACTCACTGAAAAGAGCCTTCGATAAGAGAAAGACATCCACAGCAATCAAGAAAAGTGTGCCAGGAACAAAGTACGGCGGTTTCAACACTGCTACTGTTTCCAGGAAACCACAGAGCCAGGGTCATCCACATCCTTGGCTTTTGCCAATGGAGTGGGAAGACTAGAGAGATTCCTGACGTAGCGGCCACTCAAATGATGTTGCAGTCTTCTGTTGTGGGCTCCGAAATGAAAGAGTCATTTACAAGCCCCACTCCGAAGTCATCATTATTTTTTGTTTCCAGCACGAGTACGTAATGATAATGTCATTTCTAACAGAAATAGTAGCATGAGCTTTAACATCTGTGCGCTATATAATAGTACACAAAATGTCTGGCATAGAATTTGCATCGGGTTCACCGAGCACAGTTCTTATAGTATCACCATCGTGGAGGTCGAGGTTGTTTAAAATGAAACAGTTGCTGTACAAGGGGGATTATTGGCAATAAAAGCTTTTTGCGATACATGGCGAATTTCTTTCGTGATGCATTTGCACATTTCACTGAGAACTTGCATTGAGATTATAGTCTTTTTCACAAACACAAAAGGCTGGAGTCTCTGCCAGCACGCACTGTGCAAAACTGCCAGGAAAATAACACATTATATTATTATAGATGCTCAATCATATATGTTTAAGATTCTGAGATCCAGAAATCAGAGTAGGAATTGCATTTGCTCGAATCAAGTTTTAGAGCAGAGACCATATTCCGATGGAATAAGCCACATCGGCAATTTGGGCCAGGGGTTCAAAGTGGGGAGACCGCTGGTGGCTTCCACATTTCTTCTTTCCCAGTCACAAAACATCTGTAAAGTTTCTTGGGTTAGACCGTGCACTGCTTTACCACGAGGAATGAACCCTTTTGGTTTGAGCACACGCACGCACAGACATTTCGTTTTTTGCACACAAAGTCGCAGCCACACAGGTCATAAGGCCTCCAGTCTGCCTGTGGTTCTAACAGCCACACAACCGTGCACAGCACAGCTGCAACCGTTGATCCGCTGTTGCGCGGGTGCATGTGGTGTCTACCCATAAAGCATTGTGGCTGCGGCCGCCGCTGCTTCTGTCAGCCCTAAAGTTTTGTGACTTACACCATCACACTCAAGAGGGAAGGCTCCATATGGCAGCGTCTGGAATAAAGCGTTAAGTCATCATCACATGCATTTACATGAGTTTAATATGAAACATGATTTATTACATGACACATGACAGTATTATTCATTAAACCTTTTGTCTGCCTATGTGAATCTTCAAGTTGGAAGATTAGTGGTCAGCTCACTAGAAACGAGGGTTGAGACTATTATGTTAAAGCAGACAGGTTCCCAAAAGCTGAAATTTGGGATTAAAACAGGTTAAAACTTCTGAAGCAACAAGTGCATCTTAACTGAATTATAGTCTCTATGCTGTCATCTGTGTCATGGTCTCACTGGTCTCTTGTATAAAGGACATAAAAGTTAAATATTCTTTATTTTATCTTTAACAACTAACTTCCTTCTTAGACGGTATCTGAGGTGTCTCTTCCTCCATAAGGTTCATTTTCACCTTTTCTCTCTTTTTCTCTGTTACTCAGCTGACCTTTCTTGGATGAACACTGGTATGTTACCTTTGTATATTTTGTGCTTCTCTCCTTTTTGTGTGTGTTCAATTTCATGCGCAACATCGAGGGACACTCGCTTCGTAGGCCACTCACAAAAAACAGAACATTGAAGTTACAGTTACCTTTTCTCTGTCTGAATTGGTTAATGGAAAAGGCTTTCTAAAACCATTACCGCTAATTCAAAGCTAATAAATGACCAAACTAAACCATCGATTGATACATTAGTTGAGAATATAACCACTACAACACTTGTTTTAACAAGTAAATCATTTAACTGTTTTAATTCAAAACAATTTATTTACACTTTACATTTAATCAAACCCACATATGCTCATCTTATGTTTGCATTTGTGTTAATGAAATGAAAAGATGTAGTGTGATCCTAATTATCACATTCTGCTTGTGTTGCTCCATGCTGTTTGCAGGTTTACTGGTTCCCTTACTGGTGGGCTCTGCACTGGGACTTGTTCTCATTGTTTCTTTAATGTGCTTGCTAATAAGGCAAAAAAGGTAAGAAAAAGGACAGAAACCACACCAAATTACTGTGGTTGAAATCACACTCTCGAACTAGACAACTGGCCAACAATATGTATATATATTCTATCTGTATACACACACACACACACACACACACACACACACACACACACACACACACACACACACACACACACACACACACACACATATATATACTAGACAATTCCAACTTATTTGACCCGAACATCAATGAAACAAAAACTTTGTGGGTAGTGTCCTCATTAGTTGGTATTTCTGGGAATGTAAACCTCACCGCGCTGCTCTTAGATGACCTCACCGCATAATTATGAGCCCATTTCATATTGAATTGAAAAGAGAAGTAGTGTACTGGAAAGTTTCCTTGGTTTTGTATTACTGTGTTACTTTCAAAGATGTTTTTGTGAGACATTGAGAAAATATTTGATTATTAACTTTTAAATTGAAGAAAACCATTGAAGAAAGGGAAAAGGTTACAGTAGCTGTGGCTAATCATAGCAGCAAACATTAGAACAATTCGATCGTTTGAACCTACAAAACTATACAGCTGTTAATCTCTTTAGGTTTTAGTTAGAAGGGATCTGAATCCTCGGAGAAACATCGGTGAAAAATAAAAAAAGTGTCCTTTGATTATTTTCAGCGTAATTCTAATAAATCCAACTGTTGTTGCGGATGTCAGGGGTAAAATGTCCAAATCTTAAATAAATATTTTTAACTATGAATGCATCATACATTTAAAAATTAAGTTATATAGTATGTTTTCACAAACACATTTGGCGAAAGGGGAACATTAAAAAAAAAAAAGAATAATTATGTGATATTAATGATGATGGGAGTGACAGCCTATTCAACAGGCTTGTTGGCAGACTCTCAATGTTCCTTCAAATGTTATTTATGTGTCTTTTCTCCACATCTTCCATAAGAATTACTGTTTAACCATACACCACTTAAATCAATCAGAAGGAATATGCTGTGTAAACCTGACCAACTTCTTGCTCATATATCATGGGACTAAATAACAAGATGATTTTGAAAGCGTAGCAAACCCCATCAAGAGAAACTTGATCAAAAAAATCTACTGCACAAGGGAGAAGACTTCATTTAAGACAGCAAATTGCATGTACTGAATATGAATATAATATCATCAAATCCTGAATGAATGATTTTATTCCTTAGAGCTTGTGATGCTGAACAGGACAAAGGCAAAGGTGCTGAACACAACGGTGGAGGGAGAGACTACAGCTCCAGAGTATAGGCCATCGTTCTTCAAAGACTGTTGTCCTTTTCCATCACTCTGTAATTGTCAGCATGACATGTTTACGTAGATGCATGCATGAAGTTTGCATGCAGCGCTGGGCTTTTGGGAAGCTCTCCTTATTTCTCAAGTCACATTGTGGACTTCCTTTGCTGTGTTGTGGCAGGCCGTCTAGATGCTGCTTTTTTTCTCTCTCGTCTCCCTTAGAGCAGGAGGAACAGCTGCCCTCTCCAATGCCCCTTTTATATATCTGACATCATGTGGTGCGTTTTCTGTTCCCGGAGATTGCCACGCAGATGCTCCCCGGCCAACCCAGTAAGGCCAGAGCCAAACTGCGGAGACTTTCAGGTTTGATTGTGGCACATGTTCTCTTGGGTTCGCCAGACATGGTGTAAAGCCCAACCACAGTCCAAACAATAGGGGGATAGGATCAACAGAGATCCCTGATGGTAGGGTGGCCTGAGATGGATGGTCTATTCCACATTTTTCCAGCAACCCTGTACTTAGGGCAGCCCTTTGGATTTTATAATAAAAGGGTCCATAGAAACACAGAAACACACTGCTTCTTGCCTGCGAATAATGCTGAGAAAAAAAGGCTTTTGTGTTTTCAAGCTGCACGTGGGCTGACCCCTGACCCCTGTCCGCCTATCTGATCACAAGACCGACTCCTCAGCGCTCCTGAGAGCCTCTCAGTTAGACTACAGCCTTCAGAGAAAACCACAAGACTGCTGGGGAGTTATTGCATTACCATGTCATTCCCACGAGTTTTCCCTTCCCCATTTTATCAACTATTCTGCTTTTATTGTATTCATAAATTTTTCATGGAGTATTTTAGATGTCCAGTAGGCTGATTTGCATGCTTGTTAGGTGACACTGTTTGTATACCTTAGATGGAATGAACAAGCAATTTGGTAAAATGAGTGAATAACATTGTAAAGAGAAGCACAGAGTGACTGTTTCTCTTCAATACTGTTAAAAAAAGAGCATAAAGTCTTCCAGCAGAAGATTATTTAGCCCATTTTTGCTGCCAGTCGCCTCAATGCACTGTTGATATCCTGTTGCCATATCTCGAAACAACCTGCCACTTCTGTGTTAAACTGTGTTTGTTTTGTACATTTTTGTCTTATGATGTTGTTAACATTACGTTGTGTTTACGTTTTAATAACTGCTGTATTTATTATTATTATTATGTCATTTTCATTGCATTTTATAATTGTCATATTTTAACATATCGTTTCTTATTTACCGGTTCCTGAAACCCCAAATTAAGAATAAAATGCTCTGTTCTACGTGTTTCAAGCAATCACGTGCAGATATTAACACGTCACATCCTTTTCCTGACGCACGAGAGAAAAATGAGTTGTTGAGCGCGAGCGCCATCTGGTGGCCGCTCGCGTCAAGTACAACAACAAGACGTTTTACTTCCGGGTCTTCTAGATTTCAGCGCTCGCTGTCGACGGTAGAGCCGCGTGCTGCTTTCGTGATGTATCACCAGCCTGTGCTCAAAAACAGGCGCACTCTCCTCGAGAGAGCAGAGAAATTTATCTCTGCTATTTACTTCACGGACTGCAACCTGAGAGGACGGTAAGGCATCCGCGCGTGCAGCTGCGATGACGTAGGCGACCCTCAATTGAAGCCGTCAACGTCAACCAAGTGCAGCAGACCAAACGTGTTTTTTTTTTCTGTGGCAGTTTAAACGGAGGATTTTTGTTTCACACAGCACGAAGAATGTTGTGTCTACGACGAGAATATTCACAATCCACCCCTACATGTGTGCACACAGCTGATAAAAACCGGGAAGAATAACAAGGACAAAGGACGAGCCAACCACCGGATTGTTTAATATCACGTCCGTTCATAACATTCCCGTAAAGTCACGTTATGCCGCCTGGTGTTCATTTTACAATCAGTACTAATAGTTGCGCAGGTTCTGCGACATACTGCTGCTCACTGTAATCATACAGGTAGTTAAGTCGACACATAGAGATCCACACCGACCTCGTCATACACAACAGCCTTTGTGGTTTGGAGGTCTCTAAATGACAGTTTTGGGATACTTCTTCCCCGTAGACTCTATGGAGACTCCTCCCCGCTGGAGACCCTGTCCTCCTTCCTGTCCTCAAAACGGATCACATTCACAGAGGCCTCTCAGCAGACCTTTGTGCCTTATAAAGTTGGTGATACCTTTGGACCCACGTAAGTATAATCCAATTTTTCCAACTTTCCAACTCCCCGATAATGGCAATAAACCAAGCTTGATGCGTGCTGTAGGTGGTGGACTTGCTGGTTTAAAGCGACCCTGAAAATACCAGAGTCTTGGAAAGGGAAAGAGGTTCATCTTCTGTGGGAAAGTGATGGAGAGGCAATGGTTTGGCGAGACGAGCAGCCAGTTCAGGTATTGTAGCAGTCGCGCTAGATTTAAGTGCCAAATCGAAATGCAAAGGCCTGACTAGTTATAATTGTGACACGTGTAGGGCCTGACCAAAGACGGTGAGAAGACGAGTTACATCCTGTCAGACTGTCTGGCAGATGAGGAGCCACATAGGTTTGTAATTTCTGAGTTTATCACTGCTTCTGTAACCAATGTTCCATCTAACAATAGTGTATTTTGTTTTTTAGCGTCACCCTTTATGTGGAGGTGGCCTGCAACGGCCTTTTTGGAGCTGGTCAAGGCTCCATGATTGCAGCCCCAGATCCAAACAGCAAGTTTTCTGTACAGAAGGCTGAGCTGGTGGTATTTAACCGCGACGTACAGGACCTGCTGACTGATTTTGAGATGCTGATTGACATCGTAAAGGTGAGGTCACACAAAACAATACGCGTCGCTTTAGTTGAAGGTAAGCAAAAGTTAACTCGTCTACTCCTTCGCAGGAACTCGGAGAGGGAGAGCAACGGGGCTACCAGGCGCTCTTCACCGTCAACGAGATGGTGAACCTCTGCGACCCCGCTGATCCCAGCTCCTTCTGCAAAGCTCACAGTCTGGCCCACGTCTTTTTCAGCCAGCGGAACGGGGAGAGCCAGCACACTGCCCATGCGATGGGTCACTGTCACATAGACTCAGGTCTCAGTCCAATGTCTAAAATGTGTCACGGGGTAAAGAAAACCTGGTCAAATGTGTAGGTGGACTTAATAATAGTGAACGGATATATCAGGTGGCTTTTGTTTAGCTTATTTTGCTGAAAGGGGAAATGATTTTGTTGAAAGGCTTATTTTTGTTGCTGTATCTGTGGTAGCACTGCAGTACAGTGAAATCACTAAAACAGGACAATCCAATTGAAATTACACATATAGTTAATACTCTCTCCATTTCTACATCCCCAGCTTGGCTCTGGCCCTACGAAGAGACCATTCGCAAATGCGGCCGAAGCTGGGTGACGGTGATCCGTCTGATGGAGAAGAACCCGGACTTTGTTTTTACTTGCTCTCAGGTATTTCCCCACTAACGCAGTTTGGCATCATCCATGAAGGTTGTACAAATATGAGCAGTCCTCAAGTTTTGACCCTTTTTTTCCCCCCATGTTTGTTCAGGCCCAGCAGTTCCAGTGGGTAAAGAGCTGGTACCCGGGGCTCTTCTCCCAGATTCAGCATTACGTTAAGAAAGGCAAATTCATTCCAGTTGGAGGGACGTGGGTGGAAATGGTAAACCTGATATTGCAAATCAATCACACAGGTATCTTATAAATGTAACTATATTAAAGGGAGTGCCGCTACTTTGCTCTTTTTATGAAGTTAATATCCTAGATAAAGATTTCTTAATTCCATATTTGCCCGTCAGGATGGCAACCTGCCCTCAGGTGAGTCCATGGTCCGGCAGTTCCTTGAAGGCCAGCGCTTCTTTAACCACGAGTTTGGGATCCATTGCAAAGAGGTTTGGATTTATTATTTAAAAAATGTCATAGCCTACTACATTTGTTGCCACTTTACCATCACATAAGTATACTATAACGATCTTTTCTGGTTCTCTTTAGTTCTGGCTTCCGGACACGTTTGGCTACTCTGCTCAGCTGCCTCAGATAATGCAGCGCTGTGGCATTTCCAATTTCTTGACACAGAAGCTCAGCTGGAACTTGGTTAACACCTTTCCCGTAAGCACTTTCTCTTTCTCTTTCTTTTTTTAAACCCCAAAATTGAGTCGTTAAGATTTTATCTTCTCTTTTCCAAAGCACAACACATTTTTCTGGGAAGGTCTGGATGGATCCAAGGTTTTGACTCACTTCCCACCAGGAAATTCCTACGAAATGAAGGGCAAGGTTGAAGAGGTAAGTTTTTGTTTCACACAGCACGAAGAATGTTGTGTCTAAGACGAGAATGTTCACTATCCACCCCTACGTTTGTGCACACAGCTGGTGAAAACCGTGAAGAATAACAAGGACAAAGGACGAGCCAATCACAGCGCGGTGCTGTTTGGCTTTGGCGACGGAGGCGGCGGGCCCACGCAGCTGATGCTAGACCGACTGCGCCGGGTACAGGACACAGATGGACTTCCCAAGTCAGTTCCTGTAAATCACTCAATACTCCGCACTGGTCACAGACAAAACATAAACCCTTAAATATTTGCGAATACGTCCTTGGAGTAAATTAGTCATGGGTTTTGTTGTCTTTATCGTCACTGTGGGCTTTGTTCGAGGGGGTTCGGCAGCATGTAGGCAACAAACTCCTCTGAGTCTGTTTAATGTAAAAGGATATGAGCAACGTTTGTCATTGTGGTCCTACCGTATCAGTAATAACAATCCCATGTTAGTCAGAATGAAGAACGAGGGTGTACCCTTTTATGGCATTGCCACTCTCACGTCTGATTTGTGATGGTTTCTCAGGGTTCGGACGTCCAGCCCTGATCAGCTGTTCTCTCAGCTTCAGGCTGACTCCGCTCTGCTTTGTACTTGGACCGGAGAGCTCTTCCTTGAGCTGCACAACGGCACCTACACGACACAGGCTCAGGTAGAACGCGGCCTTAAAAGACACTGAATGCGTAGAAAAATGATTATGTAAAACATTTATTGGGTTGTGCCAGATATAATATAAATTGTTTATATGCAGAAGGATTGGTTCTATCTATCCAGTAATAATAATAATGCTATTGATTGCTTAAAATAAATATGAATTAATACCTATTCATGTATTTCCTACAAAATGATATCCACAAAATAAGTGCAAGTGGGAAGAAAGGGGTTGTGCTTATTCAGGAAATAGAAAGAAAGGAATAAATACAATAAAAGGAATTAGCTCATGTTTTTATTGTTCGATATTGTTCTTTTCTCTTCCAGATCAAACGAGGGAACCGGCACTGTGAGGTGCTGCTTCATGACATTGAGATAGCCAGTAGCTTGGCGCTGTGTCGGAACGGGACCTTTCAGTATCCTGTGGAAAAACTGCAGGAGCTGTGGAGGTCCAGATACTCATTAGTTTGATGATTTATAAATAAATTGCCTCTTTGTTGCGGTATAAAAATGGTTTCTTTGATTTTTTATTTTTTTTCCCCTTTCAGGCTGCTTCTTCTAAATCAATTCCATGATGTGATCCCGGGCAGCTGTATAGAGATGGTTGTGGAGGATGCACTACGCTATTATGAAGGTACAGCTGTATGCCCATTGACACCACAGCCATGTACACATATTGCTTTCCACAATAAATCGCATGTAACACTTCCTATCAGATATCCGCAGCAAGGGCGCTGCACTGCTGCATGATGCTTTAGGAGCCCTCGGGTCAAAAGGCATCTCCACTGGTGTGTTCAACTCTCTGCCATGGGAGCGCCATGAAGTCATCCAGATTCAAGATAGTGCCGGTACACCTGGCCTGGGTACGCTAGACATTTACCATATGTTTGCGTTGTTTCCTCACTAAGTACAAGCGCATAGTTGATGCTCTGTGGTCTGTTGTACGGCAGCTCTTGTGAGGGTTCCCAGCATCGGTTTGTCCCCTGTGAAAGACACACAGCCCGTGGCTCCGGTCTCTGTCACTTCTCAGGTACGTAATATATATATATATATATATATATATGAATCCATTCAATATGCTGTATCGTAATTTGGCTTACCGAGGTGCGTAATATGCAGGCCGACGGCACCGTCGTCATGGAGAACGGGATTTTACAGATTGTCGTAAACAAAGATGGCACCTTGGCGTCGTTGTATTTGATCGATGCTGGCAGGTACTGCAGGGCCACGTGGCTGCATTTCATACTACTATAGATACAATAAATCCCTTTTCTCTTACTGAATTGACATTTGTCTCGCCCCCTTGCTTGGTTTCAGAGAAGCCATCTCTGAGAGCTGTCAAGGGAACCAGTTTATCATGTTTGATGATGTCCCTCTGTACTGGGATGCTTGGGATGTAATGGACTACCATCTGCAGACAAGGTTTCAGTCATTACTTTTGCTTACATTGCCGTATTTGCAGGTGTTTGAACAAGAACCTAACTACAGGATTGACCCTACAGGAAGCCGGTTGTGGAGGTGGAGCAGCCTCCTCACGTGGTGTCCTCAGGTGGGCTCCGAGGAAGTGTCCGCTTCACCCTCCGGATCAGCGAGAAGAGCACTTTAACGCAGGAGATTGTCATGGACGCCATGTGTCCTTACATCAAATTCAACACCGAGGTGTAACATTTATGATATCTGGAGAAATCCCTGAGCAAACACTTGACAAATTCCTCGAAATCAAAGAAACAACCCTTGTTCCATCCTCCAATTCCAGGTGAAGTGGGCGGAGTCACACAAGTTTCTGAAGGTGGAGTTCCCGGTGCGAGTGCACGGCCCCAATGCTACATATGAGATCCAGTTTGGCCATCTGCAGAGACCCACACACAGGAACACCTCGTGGGACTGGGCCAGGTTTGAGGTGAATACTGAATTGGAACGTTTGAGCAGGAAACTGTCCCGTGGATGTCCGCAATGGCCTCGTAACCAAAACAAGCTTTCTGTCTCTGCCGGTTTCCATCATGGCTTCCTTCCCAGGTTTGGGGTCACAAATGGGCCGATCTGTCGGAGCACAACTTTGGGGTTGCGCTGCTGAATGATTGCAAATATGGCTACTCAGTCCACAAGAACACAATGACGCTTTCCCTGTGAGGTTCCCCAATTTCCATATACAATTGGTTTCTTCTGCGTTTTAACACGCCCTGCCTCTAACGTTATACGTCTGTCGTAGACTGAGAGCGCCCAAGGCACCAGACGTCAATGCCGACATGGGGACGCATCACTTCACCTACGCGGTCATGCCACACACGGGTGGGATTCGACTTTACGGCCTTCGTTAAACCACGAATCTTTAAGCACGGACCTTTTTGTAACGAGACGTTCCGTGTTTTGAATGTAGGATCTTTCCAAGAGGCCTCGATCATCCAGAGTGCGTACAACCTGAACTTCCCTCTGAGGCCAATCTGGTGCCCTGCTGACACAGAACCCTGGAGCGCCTTTTCAGTCAGCAACACAGCGGTCATCCTTGAGACCATTAAACAGGTATCCCGTTAAATGCTAATGTTGGTTTGACTTAATCCACTCTGCCCATTAATGGCCGTTTACTGGGTTTCCTGTGACAGGCGGAGGACCGGAAAGGAGCACTCGTAGTCCGGCTTTATGAGTCACATGGGAGCAGCGTGACGGCAACGCTTTCCACCGCCCTTCCAGTCAGGGAAGCCTGGCAGTGAGTAATTGTAGTTTCACAGCACGGCCTGCTGGTACCGTCTACTAAGAACAAAACCTTTTGCCTTTCAGTTGTGATTTCCTGGAGAGAGACGACCCCACGCAGCCGGCACGCGTTACACCGGAGGGGATCACTCTGAACTTCAGCCCCTTCCAAATAGTTTCCCTTCTCCTCACCTTGTAAAAGATGCAGCTGGTAACCAAACCTGAGGGTGGTCCCAAATAGCACATCCAGAGACTAGAAACTAGTTAAATGCGTCATCTAGGGCTGCAGTTTGTTAGTGGATTTAAAAAAAATAATTGAATAAAATCAATCATTACAATTTTATGTATAAACACTTTATTAAACTATTTGGCAGTATAAAAACATCCGTCCCATTCAGTGGTGCCTCCTTTTTATTTTTTATTTGCTGTTCTGCCTGGTTACTCTCTCGCTCCGTCTCTGTGGACCTGCAACAAGGACGACTTGTGAGTTTTCTTTCGAGTGGTTCACTTTTTTTAATATACTTTTGAGAGAATTTCATGAGCTCACCTGCAGCTGACTCGGCGCTGCTGGTTTTCCTCTTACGTGCAGCTGATCCCTTTCCAAGTTGTGGTGCTTTTACCTTTCGGCATACGGGATCTGCTGAACCGGAATCCTTTTCTTTCTTTGGCGTTTTGGTCACAGTCTTCTTTGAGCGTACAGAGCGACTGTTCGCCACCTAACGAAATCAAACCTGTGTTAAGACGAAGATCTGGAGTTCATCAATTGGAAAAAAAACAAAGACTACTGGGGACCTTTTTCTTTTCTGTGTAATCGTGGTCATCTTCTTTCTTGGCTCTCTTTTTGGTCTTTGGAGCCTTTGAATCTATTGTATGAAAAAAAAAAAAAAAAAAGTTTCAGTTCATTAGCCGACTCTCCTCCGATTTATTTCAGCTGAAGTTCTCCGTTCCATGTGTTTTAAGTACCTTTGGGCGCCATGGGGCCTGGATCTCCCTAAAGTTAGAACAGCGCGTATTAGCCAACATGTGAAGCTTAAAATACTGGATTTTCCTATTAACTGACTTTGAACCACATAGTTCTGCCGTTGTGGTCCCGTATAGACTTCATTCCATCCACGTAGTAACACTGCAGCCACGCCTTAAAGCCAGAATAGTCCGACTTCTGGGGATCGTAGCCCTTCCCACCTAAGATAGCAAAGTCATGAACAGTCATTCCACAGGAAATTCAGCGTGTTAAATCCTTATGAAGGTATTGTTGGACTACAAAATGACTAACCGAGGTTCACCACCTCTAGAGGGACTGTATGACACAGGCGGAGCAGGTCTCCCGTCTCCCTCGTCACTTCCAGTTTCTGTTTAGTTCCATCCGAGGTCTTAAAAAGAAAGATGCACTGTTAGAAAACCTAATTAAAGCGTCTGATCATCTGAACAATGTCGGTCACTGTCTGCGCCCTTTCACCTTTGTGTCAGTGAGATCATCTTGCACAGCCGCCTTCTTGTCAAAAACATCTTCTAAAACGGTCCTGGCGGACACAAAGGGCGGGATGTTCAACCTGAAAAAAGATCAACCAAAACAAGTAAAACAGAAAGGCTCCTTTGTTTTCAAAATCTGCCCCTTTTTCTCCAAACCGCAACCTCACAGGAAAAACACAATTTTCAGATAATTGTAGTTGGAGGCCTACATTTGAAATTAAGGATCATGTTATTGCTGATCCTCGATCCACTTAATGAGTCAGTAATGGTGCATTCCTGAAAACACACTACTGTAAAATGTCATTTGAGTATTTGAGTGGTTTATCACCTAAAAAGAATTTCAGCCCTCAGGTAGTTCCCGATGCCGTTGAAGTACTTCTGATTGAGCAGAACTTCACAGATGGGCTTATCAAAGGCATGGTCGGACAGGTGCGACGCGATCTTTTCCCTGCAAGGAGATCAACCGGTCAGCTGGACGGCGAGACTTCAATTGAGCTGGTAACTCAAGTGACGCTTTTAGTCATCTCAGCACTACTGACCTGAAGCGTCCGTACTCGAACATGACGCAAGGCCCTCGATCAGGCTGCCACGTCCCGTTGGGCTGCCAGCTGCCAAACCTGCGTGCATCCACAAAGCTCAGCACTCTGCTGGGCGTCTCTCTGGAATGGAAACGCAGATGGGCATGTTTGGGCAGCTCATCCTCTGCGGTGAAGCGGAAATAACCTGACATCCCAAAGCGAAAGACTACGTCCATGGGCTGGTCTGCGTGTCCTTCCTTCACGCCCTTTTTTGAATCATCACTCTTCATGGGCGTCAGCGTGAGCTTCACTTCCTTCCCTCTGGAAGCCGCAGTAACGAGGTAGGCCTCGCAGGCGAAGGGCACATCGGGACTCTTGCTGACCTCGGACTTTCGGACGGGTCCGGTGAACACCACTCCTGCGCACATTTTGTTCACGTAGAGGCTGGCCAGGTGGAGCTCTGGTCCCTCAGGCATTTTGTTGGGAGTCAATTAAGCTGCTCTGCAAAGAATAACGAGTTGTAGCTCTCAGTGATGGACATGGGAGCGTGTGTACTTCGACCAGCCGGGGAAATTTTACATGAAATAAATCAAGTTAAAATAAACATGATTGGCCCAATAAAAGAATATAACTGCCACTTCTTCCCACAGGAATCCAATTTAACTGAGGAGACACCTGGGAAATGCAAAGGCCTTGTTCTTATGTGGGTAAAATGTCCCGGCATAAAGGTTAAAGTTATAAGTTCTAACAGTTAACTGGGTGAATAGATAGTAAATCTTGGCCTCTTTGCACACAACCTCCAACCAAACCTCCACATGTGATGCATGGCCTGAATAACTAACTTGTCGTTCCTTGTTACGAGGAAAACAATAACAAGCGAAAGGTGGACGTTTTTATAGAGTTGCAAAAGAACATTAAGGAACAGAACAACTTACCCACCAGAGGCAATGGACCCCGTCGAAGACACGCGTCTTTTTAAAAGACTTGCATTGGTCACAACGAGAGAGTTTGTCGGGTATCTGCACGCTTATTGCACAACATGCATGTTATCAAACACTCTTCTTCTTCTCTCCTCCAATGGTCGCAGCTAACCAGCAGCGTCGTGCGCACTACCGCCCCCTGCTTTTAGGAAAGGGTTAACTTTTCCCATATGACCAACCACTGACTGTTTCTAATAGGAACACAAGCAAGGATCATGAACCGTTCCAATGTATTAAGTGACCTCCACATATGTAGGAATATGAAAGCTGCAGAAACCGGCAAGTAAAAAAAAAAGTGAAAATACTACAGATTTGATTTTGTTACGTATGAGAGTTTATAAATGAAAAGTTATAGAAGTAACACAGATCATAGAAATAAATCAAATCAGAATTTGGGAACAATATATTTACAAAAATAGTCCGTTCTGTATTCCTGTTCAGTCTGAACACATTTTCACCAATTATTATAACTAATTTGGAAGAAAAATACAGATAAATATCAGTTAATACAAATGAAAAGAGGCTGTTATGAGCTTAACGTGACGTTAAGACAAATAAATTCATATTAAGAGTGGCATTTTCTAACAGCTTCATTGGTGTCCGGCTATCGATCAGACATCGAGGTCTGACCTGCCCGTCCACTCTTTATTGTAGTGCATTCATCCTCGTCTGCGCTTGTTTGAGCTCTGTTGAAACACAAAGAGGGAAAGATTAATCACAAATAAAAATAAAAATGGTTGTACTGTGAAAACCTCAAATTTGAAATGATGCAGAACTTACCTGCAAGCAAGACCCTGAACTTGTCTGCAGAAACAGAAACAACGGTTGTCTCTGTTGAGCCTGACTCTGCGCCTTGTGTCTGCAGTTTAAGTTGAATCAGAGGTTCATTCACCTCCCTCAGCTCACTGGAGCTCAGAGTGTAGTCGACGCGCCAGGACACGCCCTCTAGTCGGCCCACTGAAAGTCATTACGGAGCAAAATAAATCTCGCAGTCTGCAACCTTAGAGAGAACAGTTCTCATCAGTTCCCGCTTTCAAAAAGGACAGATAGACAGAAATACTTACGTCTCAGACTTGTCTCTCTTAGTTTGCCTTGCAGCACGGAGTGCTTGTCTTCATATGATTTGCAGAGCCCCGTTGTGTGTTCTAAAATATGGAATTTGTGTAAAATTAAAAGTAAATTCAAGATTATATTGTAAGCGCGTAAATCAAAGTGAAGCTTTTTAATTCATTGTTGGCAGACGTGCTGTGCCAGCACACTTATACCGAAAGAATAGATTGAAAAAAAGACAATCTCAAGTTGCTGGAGACTTTTGTCATTGTTTTATAATATCAATGGACAAAGCAACACCCACCCCACCTACTAGCTTTGTTCATACTGTGCAAGAACGGACGAGAACTGACAGGGTTATTTCATATTTAGTTCAACAATACCCAATTCAGAAATACCCTTTACTCCATTAACAACCTCATAGGCTGTGATCGTGGGCCTGTATGTTTCTAGAAGTGCAAACCTGCACATCTTACCAATATATCACTCTGTAAAGGGTTCCACGTAATGCAGACATCACCCCTGAAATAAAACAACCAGTCGTTCCTTACTTTCTCGCACAATTGGGCCAACAAAATAATATATTTACCCCTGAAATCTAATGAAGTGAAGAGACAACTTGAACATGTAAAAACCTTCTTCTTGTTAAAGCATGCAAAACAATCTGTCCATGTCTGACAACAGATTAGAAGACCTAATCATCATTTTTATACCAAACATGGTGATCCACAATGGACCTACCTTTCGGCAGACCGAGCTGCTGCAGCTCACTGGACAGGGACTCGCTGTCAACATCATGCTTCGCTGCACTGGAGAAAATGAAGCTGAGCACTGCCACACTAGCTTTGATATCGCCGCTTTCTACGAGATAGAACGTCATGAATTAACATTTAGTAGCAAACAATGCATTGCGAGTATGACAGTTTCATAGGCGTATGTGTTAAGTATATGGGTTTTATTTAAATGCAGTACCAGAAGTAGTGGAATATAATTAAGTACATCAACTCAAGTACTCTGCTCAGGAATCATTTAGCACAACTGGTACGGGATTTTAATGCTCCCCTTTACTTCAGCATCATTTTACTTGTATAGTTTAATAATGAGTCTGCAAAATGTACATAGAAAAAATTTGACAGACTTATAAAACATTAGGCATTGTTGCAGCATTTAAAGTCACTTAACCACAGGCACATTCTCTAGAAATACTTCTGCACTTATAATCAAGACAAATTTGTGATGTAGGTCTTTTATTGTTTTTTTATATACTGTACTGCTGCTTCTTTAACCTTCAATTTGTAATAGATCTATAGTATGAGGGAGACTTACCAAACTTTGCATCTGCAGTAAGCTTTGCAACTTTATCATACTAAATAACAGAGAGAAGATAGCTTATATCAGTGAGTGAATTGTAAAGTTAACTGATCATGTGGAAATGTGTTGAAATTCTTACATCAATGCCTTCCCCGAGCAAATCCTTCAGCACTTGAGCACAGAGTAGCTTCATTTTTACACTCGACTGTTATGTTGGAAAGGCAAAGGACACAAATATTAGTTTCAAAAACACCATCATCCGACCTTGAAAATGTCAACTTTTACCCTAATAAGTAACGTTACTCACAATCTTGGCTAACGTGCTTATTTCGGCAAGGACCCAGTCTGGGCAGTCCAAATCTCCACAGAAGCGAAACCGCTACAACAGAAAGGACATCCTATTCATAACGTTTACTGCGCTGTAACAAAAGTCAGTCCTTAAACACTGCAGCGAGCATTTACATCAACGTCAGACATCCATCACTGAAAGTTACTGACTAGCTTAGCCTGCTAACGTTAGCTACTTTTCTAACAGCCAGGTCTAAACATCGATCATGTGTAAGGTAAATCACGTTACTCAAAATATGTATAAATTATCCAAATGTTTTGTGAAATGCTGGTTCCAAATGAGCAAAGAATATAACTGTTGAACGTGTTTACCATGGCTATCGGTCGTCAGTCAGCTGAGCAGCACCCGGAAGAACTAAACCGGAAGTACGTTCTGCTTCCTCTCATCTGATTGGACAATCGGGCCAAAGTAAGCTTCCCTTTAGAGACAGTTGCTAGTCTTGTTCTTGATAAGTCAGTAGTAAACTGGAAGGGCCTCCTGCCATTTCTGCAAGAGATCTGGATAATACGTACTTAGGTAATTGCACTGTTTAGATTAGAGCTAATGCCCTTTCTTATGGCTTTTTAAAAGGCTAGAACTTGGGTCCTTAAGACGGGTGTATTCACATATGCTTTTAGTCATATTGTGAGTCTCATTAATATTTTCCCAGTGGTTCAATAGCAGATTTGCATTGATGAAAAACGTGGTCTTCTTTGTCTTCCGTTTCCATTTTCATTTATATCGTCTTTCTCCCACTATATCGTAATTTCACATTGCTTCCTCTATAGGTTATTTTAAATACATTTCACCAACTAGTGGCGCCCTGGACCAAATTAGTGACACCTTGAGGTGATGTACCATCAACCTGAAGTGAAATTATTACGAAACTATTGATTATTTCCTTTCAAATATAATAATAAAATGTGAGGGGACTTAGCTCATGGATGAGATTATGAGGGGCTTTCATTTTGCATTTTGAAATGCTGCATCACAATATTGTATCTCTTTCCCTATGTTTTCTAATATATAGTATTAGCACAGCTATATGGGATTTACAAACTTATTGAATGAATTGGACACGTTCTTATTTTGAAGTCACTAACGTATTCTCGTGCACAGACAATTTGGGGGGCAGGTGCAAAAGGACAAAAACAAAAGGACACCCATCGGCAAAATTATTCATGACATTAAAAGTTCAGGTTCAGGAACAGCTTCATCCCTGCAGCTGTCACTCTACTGAACTCTGCCCCCCCCTGAACTCTGCCCCCCACCCCCCCCACACACATCTCCCTCAGTGACCGTACTCCCCCCTCCACCCTGGCTTGACTGCCACACCTTCCTCCAGCCACTGAACATTTGCACTGTTATTGTATATCCATTTCTTACTGTACATATCTATTTATTCACTTATTACACTTTACATATGCACATACTCTGCACTTTTTGCTATTTTGCACTTCTGGTTGGATGTTAAACTGCATTTCGTTGCCTCAGTACTTGTACCCTGTGCAATGACAATAAAGAATCTAATCTAAAAAAAATAATAATAAATTAATTAAACAAAATACACAGTAGATGGTTTCAGCTTATATATTTATTTTTGTTAACAAACTAACTCAAATTATCAAATTGAATAAATGAATTCATATCAGGCAAAAACAGACGAAACTCGGCCATATTGTATAAACAAATAATCAATAAATATTCTAACTCAACAACTTATCAAAACTCTGCTCTGCATAAATTAAAGGAGCTTCACGGGAGCATCCTCCTTGGTGTCATCTATTGGAAGATGTTTACTGTTTTCTTTTACAGTTGAAGCATAAGCAGCATTACACTAATAATCAAGCACGTGCACACACTATTTGGGGGCAGGTGCTCAAACCAAAACAAAAGGGCACCCGTCGCCAAGATTTTCTTGGCATTATGCTGAAAATGTTCTAATAAATGCCCCGTCAGATATCAAAACACACTTGGGGGGAATTGATGGCAGAGAGAGTCATTTTTATTCTTAAATATTGATGAATGAAGAAAAGGGGCACTGTTCTCGCAGGGCAAAAGAGCAGGTGCTTGATCACCACTGGGGGTCCATCTCCAGTAGGGCCGAGTGAGAAAAGTGGTCGGTGGCAGGTTCCTTTGGCTTGACCGCAGTTCGTTACGCCTAGAGCCGTAATGTAACGTATTCGGGACGGTTCGTACTGGAACGAGCATGTTGACGATCTAAAGGCTGCCGCATGCTTCTGCGTCTTTACGCACCGTCATATCGACGCACTCGTGTTTTGTCGAAGACGACCTAGAGTCACGTCTTTGTGTGTGGAAGTCGTTGGTTGGTTGGTTTATTTATCATAGACTTTATTGCCCCGTGCATCTGTATCAGATGTGTTTAGGGCATGAAGTGGTCGACTCAGGTACTGATCTTTTCAGCATTTATTTGCTCCTGCAGAAGACAATAAAACACAGACATTGCCTTCTGGTCTCTGCACATCAGCTCCCTACACACGGGGTCTATGGAGGGGAACGTATACGTCAGGACGACCGGAAGTAGCGAGTACAAACGGCGCGAAATTAAACAATAACCAAACGTATACTTTTATAACCACTCCATCGTCTAGAATAATGACGCACCACAGCTGAGAACCCATGTTACATGAGCACATGTGCACATGTGGGTTACATGTTACCCACGCTAATGGTAGCTGATGTTAACAGTTATAATTAAGAACATAGCGAGATAGTGCGACATCGTTTTTCTCTCAACTTACCTTCAACAGAGTAACACTACTGTGAAGGAAAAACGGGACTACGGAAGCCTAGGAGGCGCAGGAGAGATGAATCGCAATTTCCGCAAATTTGACTCATCAAAATAAAATTCACACACACACGCTCAACAAGATTGTTGAATAATAACCAAAAATAAGATACAATACATTGAAAATGACAGTGTATTTCTAACTCCGTTACACATCCACACTGCTGCTTTTCATCGCGGACACATTTGTCCCGTATTTTCCTTCACAACTTTGTGCGCCTCTCGAACCGGTGTTACACCCCTACTGTTTTTTCCACCTACTGGTTTCCCTACGCGTGCGTGTTTGAGTTCACTCCACAGCTGCAGATGTGTCCGCCTCAGTTCCCTGATTCGTCACACATTCACAAACATATTGCTTCAAAACGCATCACAAATCCATTGCAGCGTTTACGATTGTATAAGTGAGCACCACATCACAGCCACGTATGAAAATATTTACACAAAAATATATATTAAAGGAAAGATCGGCACAACCTGGATTCGAACCCGGGGGATCAAAACATCAAAATATTAACCTGGTAGCTGCTCATAGCAGCGCGCCACGGAGACACACAGCAATTTGTTGACGCTTTGTATAATTTATTAATTTTGTTGACGTAGATCAGCATGAAGGAAACCTTTTGGTGTCGTGGATTTAAAACAACTGTATATATATTAAGACCGAACACTTCGTATTGCCCCGTGGCGCAGCGCACAGACTCCGTAAAGGACGTAGTTAACGGACCAATCGCAGCCTGGTGCGCTGCGGGAGGGTTGCTTCGCAGCGACACACGCAAAGAGGTGTGAACGACACGCAACGGGGGTTTGCGTCTGCGTCGCTCTGAAAACGCAGAAGCATAAACTAGGCGTAAGGCGCACAATGTTGCGACTTGTTTCATTGTATATTTGGCTTTCCCGGGACGTTCAACTCGTCCTTAATGCGCCGACTCTCGGTTCTGGAAATAACCCAAGACTGCTGCTGAGCAAAGGTAATGTTCACATGTCACGTTTGCATCGGAAAGAATGCAATGTTTCACATGTAATCTGGAAAATGTGATGCCTCAATTGATTGCAGATGGTTAGCAGAGTTAGGTAAGGAGTTAATACTCAAATCCTTCTTAAACCCGCCGAGTAAGATTGAGTTCAGTTTATATATATTTACTTTGCAAAGAGAATGACCAAATCATGAGTTTGTAGGTACAACGTTTATTATCAGTGCACGACGATACAGGTACTGATGTGTGACTTCATGTATCTGTAGAATTCGACATTATTGGACATGATGCTTTATTTCCTCAGACTACAGCAGTAGTGGAATTGAATACGAAGTTTCTCAGAAACACAGCGTGTTCTTCTATGACGAGGACTCTGAGCAGATATATGTCGGGGGGACAGACTTTGTGCTGAACCTTGATGTGGATGATTATCGCGTTAAAGAGGTGGGTGTTTCTGAAATTCCATATTTTGAGTTCATTTGTTTTTTGATTTTATTTTCTTCCTGTAGTCTCTCCAGGGGCGCAGCCAGGACATTATTTCTGGATTGACATTTCTTTGAGTGATTTTTTCCTGAGAAAGAAATATATATATATATAGTAAGTTTAAACCTTGTGTATATGTCCATCAATACTTTTCCCCTGCGCAGAGATTCCGTTTAAAGAACTTGGGGCATCAACAGTGCCAAGAGGTCAGTAACTAGAAATTGACGTGGTCAGAAAAGAGACATAATTAGTTCGGTGTGATGTCTCGGTATTAACAGATTCTGCTTTTTAGGGTCAATGTGAAAATGTCATTACTGTGATCGAGCAGTTTCAGGGCAGCCTGTTTGTCTGTGGAACAAACGGAAACAACCCTCAGTGTTGGAAGCTTGTGAGTGTTTGCATAAACTTCTTAATATGTCACAGTTAAAGTCTTTTCTGTCTGATGTAGTTATTGCGTCTAGTTCGCTTTAATGGCAACAGCTTGACTGCTAATTAAATGGAGCTTGTTCTGTGTGGTTTCCCTTCGACTTTAATGAGTTCCATGGCTGCTGTTTAAAATAGATTGCACCACAGCATCAATGAACATCTGTACGTTTTACTTTTCTGTTGTCCTTCAGTTTTCTTCAGCGAACAACCAGACTCATGCAATAGTGGAGAGTTATGAGGGGACGGGCATCTCTCCGTTTGTTTCCACACATAACTCCGTGACCCTCGCAGCGGGTACGTTAAGTAGAACGCACTTTGACATGAATGTACTCACTAATTGAACATCCATGCTCATTTACATGATGTCTTTCTGCTATTTTAGACGGGGATCTATACTCAGCGGTGCCTTTGGATCCTGATGGAAGTTCATTACAATTCAGAAGGAAAGCTGGAGGCAGAACTAACGTCTGGATGTACGACGGCTGGCTCTCAGGTGGGTTAATGACTGACGTTTATTCATCATGTCGGATGAATATAAAAATACCCCACGCTCCGGGGAAAATCAGCGAGAATTCAAATGACTTCATGATGTCCCTGAACGCTATCAGTGTGTTGTGTTCTTTCCACTCCCTTTCATTATCTGTTGTTCATGTGTCCCGTGCCAAGCTTTGTCCTTCTCATATTGCTGCCACTGCTGTGTAGACGCTTTGTCAACAGCGAAGCAGCTTGGTAAACACAATCCTCCTTTCACAGAGCCCACGTTCATCTCCGCTTCCTGGGTAAGGCGGGGGGAGGACCCTGATAACGAGAAAATCTACGTATTTTTCCGTGAGAAGAACTCTGATCCGAATCCGGAGGCCGACCCCTGGATATCCAGGGTTGCCAGAGTTTGTAAGGTACGCTGATCACTAACGTGGGTGAAGCTCTCATCTCCTTCTAGACTGCTACAGCAAACTATCCAAAATGAGTATTTATATTCAAAACAAGAGTTAGTATTGATTGCATCAACGATACGCATCGGTCCACCCACCTCAACCCGCTTCGGTCTGACAGGATGAGAGAACGAGCGTGGCCTTTCGGCATCGCTGGTAGGGCTTTAATGCTTTGAGTTATTGATGAGGAGTAATATGATCGGAAGTACTTCTAAAAGGAGCTTAAGGTCGATGATACTGACTTTACTCATGGAAAAGGATCATTCACATGGTGGGTTGTAATATGCAGTATTTTTTTAATGAGAGTACGTCCTTCCGATACGCTCATATTGAAGGGGCACGTTGTCACTTCATAACCCCAGTAGCAAATGAAGTATTTACAATAAAAAAACAAAGGGTCGACAGTGATATTGTGCAGTAGGTGAATGAGGTAGTCTTCCACAGAGGCAGACAACATGATTAATGCATTAATGCACCATCTGCACCACAACGATCTCATTTCCATTGGCTGCACAAACCTTTTCCATCTCAAGTAACTGGTGCGTCATGCTATTAGGTGTCCCATTCCAGGTACGATGGTCAAAGTTGAGACAGCCCGATCAAATAACAATGAGTTGATGCATTTTAGTTTGGAAGAAAAGTGAAAGAGCGTCTTCCTGGTGTAATTTATCGATTTCATTTTGCAGGTAGATGAAGGTGGAACGAAACGATTCTTCCAGAACATGTGGACATCTTTCCTCAAGGCCCGGCTTGTCTGTGGGTTTTCAGGGGAATCGCTGTATTTCAACCGCCTTCAAGACGTTTATGTGATGCATGCTGAGGACTGGAAAGACACTCGTGTCTATGCCCTTTTCTCGCTTTTCACAAGCAGCTGGTGAGACACTTTCCCTTCCTTTATTATCAACAACATAAGAAAACACGCTGACATGGCAACGCAAAATCACTTCGAAACAAGACTTATTCTGGTCTCTGTCCTTTTCTCTCTTGTCTGTCCGTCCATTTATCCCAATTCTAATCTGGTCCACCTGACCTAAAAAATGTGTTTAATCTCAGTTCAATATCACATCAGAAGCACTTTAGGACTACACTTCTAAAGTAGGGTGACTCAGATAAGATATGAAATATCTGTATATATATTTTTTTTTAAATGGTAAAACTAAATTGATAGAGGCTTGAATAAAGGTTTCTGCTAAAAGATAACAACCACCACCACTGACATGGAGATACCACTGCATTAACCTCAGGATCTTGTTTTTTTAGGAACTCCACAGCAGTGTGCGTCTATTCTATAGAAATGATTGAGGAAGTATTTGAGAACTCAACTTTCAAGGGCTACAACAAAGAAGTCCCAAAACCAAGGCCGGGAACGGTAAGCCTTCGTTGTGTTGATCGGTTTGCACGAACCAAATACTTCCTCGTCATGTTACATAACTGGGTGGAAACATGTGCAAACAAAATGTGTATCATCAGATGGTTCACTGTGTATCTGTAGAGGCAGGTCATTTTTTACATGAAGTGTATTTGGGTTCAGCCTGAGGAACCAACAGACACGGATACATTTCATCTCGTTGTAGTAAATTGTTTAGCGATCCGGTGAGTAATGGTTCCTTCGCGGAGGTGGACTTGTTGTTATGTCCTGTGCCTTTCATCGATTCAGTTTATACCTGCGAGAAATGTTTGTCTTACTTGCAGCGTACAAACTCGGACGCCTCCTGTTTTGTATACCTAAAGCAGCTGCCTAACCCGAGTCTCTCTCCAACAAACCTTCTGTCTATGTTCCCTCTTCATATAGTATACAAATACATTTTGAACAAAAAACAACAACTTTATGTCCATGTACTTTTGCAGTGTGTAAAAAACAGCAGAGAGTTGCCACTGGCCACTGTCAACATGGTGAAGGATTACCCAGAAATGACTGACTGGGTTCACTCCGTGCATTGTAAAGTGCCATTTTACATAAGCAACAACAACTACACAAACATAGCTGTGGACCGCGTCCAGGCGGCGGACCAGAGCATGTATAACGTTCTGCTTCTGGCTACTGGTATGTTCACGTTTGAAAGAAACATTATGCACGTGTTTTTTCCGCACTTTGTTTAGCTTATCACGCCTTGTGTCTTTTCCTGTCAAACCCAAAATAGCAACACTACAAAATGCTATTTGTGTCCTGTTCAAACAGACTCTGGAACAATACACAAAGTCTTGGAGTCGGGATCAGAACCGTTCATCATCTCTGAAACACAACTCCCCAACTGTTCAAGCATAAAATCTATGAAGCTTGTCTCCAAAAAGGTATTTGAAATGTCATTCATTGTGCTGCAAAGTGTTAGAGATGTTTTTCCTCACAATTTTACATGTTATGCTCCACTAATCAATATTACACATATGCTTGATTAAATAATGCTATTTAATATGGAAGGAACTGCTTGTAATGAAGAATTATAGTTTCCCTCAGCTCTTGTTTTACTCGTCTGCAGTTCTCCTGTTTCAGTTCAGTCTTCTGACTTCCATCCACCAAAAACTACCAGCGCTTGGTCCATCAATGCTTTAAAGTAAAATGATTTGTTCCCATCCACAGAAAAAGTTAGTGGTGGGTTTACCGGAGAGAATTTCTATCATGGACCTCCAGAGGTGTCAGGAGTACAACAAGTCCTGCGCAGACTGTGTTCTGGCCCGGGACCCGTACTGCGCCTGGACGCAGATCGGATGCACCCCGACTACTCTGTAAGTAGTGTGGAAAGTATAGATACCAACAACCACAATGTTAACAACACATGTTAAAACATGCGTGTCGTTTTGGTTTTCAGTGGAGGCATTCAAAACCTCATTGACGGGAACATAAGTCTATGTCCTGCATCAGGTAGCTGTGAATGCCACTGTTAATCACGCAGACCTGCTAAGGGCTCAAGCCCTTTTGGTAATATCTCTATTTTATGTCCTTTTTTTTTTTCTTGCAGAGAAGTTAATAAACCGGACCAAACGGGACATAGCGTCACCATCCCCGGTGGATTTGGGGACAATTCACTCTGTCCCCTTGAGTGTCCCTTTCTATCTGTCATGTCCTATAGAGTCCTACCACGCTGTCTACACCTGGGAGCATGGAGGCCACAGCCACCCTTGTCTCCAAATGCAGTCCAACTGCCTGCACCTCATCCCAGCCATGGCGAAGGAGCACTACGGTCGCTACAACTGCGTTTCCAAAGAGAAAGACTACACCAAAGTGGTGAAAACGTATCGGCTTACGGAGCAAAGGATTCTAGATACGAATAAGCACACTAAGGTATTCGATACCTCTTTCAAAATAAATCACGCATCAGCTGTCGTGTCACAGAAGGCATTGATTGCTCTTGGACTTGCTGTTTTGGGGATTTTAAGATATTGCTGAACTTAGTCTTTAAACTTGCCACGCTGTCGTTGTGAGGCCAAGGCACAGGCAGCATGACAGGAAATCCACCATAGCCGTAAACTTTCCAATCAAGCAGGCAAAACCACTGCTGTAAACCCAATTCGCTCAAGCGCATGTATAGTTGGCAGAAAAGGAAAATGCTGCGGCAAAGTAGTTTTTCCAAAGAGAAGCTAGAACAGCAGAACAAGCACAAGCAGCACAGAGCACAGCTTGAGCGATCGGAGGGGCCCTAGTTTTCCCCCAGTGTCTTTGTATCAGCTGATGATCCGTCAAAAGACATCGGAGAGCCAAAGAAAACCAAGTTCACAGTAAGTAGGTGTGGTGCAGTAGTATCTCTGCTCCCAGTCGGATCCGATAAGACTACGTGGGGTAGGGTGGAGGCAGCCGTGGGGACCCTTCTGGAATTTCCCTGTTTTTGTTTATCCAGAGTTCAGGGAGGAATTTGGAAATGTGCAATAAAAATGTTTTGCAGCCTAGCAGACGATATCTAAGCTATAACGTTTTCAAACCGAGCTAGAACGTCTGAATCTGACACAGAGATTACCTTTAAAAATGTTGTACGAAACAATAATATGTATTATGTTGCCATTTCACAATGAAGTATTTTTAAACATGCAAACACTGTATTCAGAAATAGAGTATTGTTGTACAATGTAACCATGAACAATGGAAGTGATTGTTATGATTTCCTGCTCATTGAAAATGAAAAAGAATGGAGATAACAAGCAGTTGTACCTCTCTCAGACCGTAAAGGGATTTAGAGCAGTTTAGGTCATGCAGGCAACAGACGAGACACAGTGCACAAAGTAGCTTAATTAGGACGACAACAACCAAGGACCTTCAGCTTAAACTGTGTCTGGTCTCAACCCTGCTAATGACATGAATTATCTAAGTGCATCTTGTTTGGGAAAATAAATCAGCAACACTCTTTATCTCTGTGACCATCAACCAAAAGTAAAACTGCTTGTTTTCTGTTACTGAGTCAAGAACAGAGGGAGCACACCCATCTAGGTGTGTTCGTTTTCCTTTTTGGGAAACCTCCAAAAAACCTGCTGTTCGTATGTTGGGTGTTTAAAAAAATATTCTTTTAACAGTACAGTGACTTCACATGGACCATGTCCATGCTCCACCGATACAACAAACTATGTCAGCTGTTTTTATCCACGGTTACGACACAGACCTTTAGCAGATGACAAAGTGGTGTAACTTTAAATGAAAATCCGGGAGTATCTGTGTTAAGCCGGAGCTGACCCGACGGCTCAGTGACGCCTCCACGCAATGCGTAATCGACCTGCCGGCTGCCGGGAAGCTTGCTGACACAGTTCAGGTGGGGGGTGTATAATGTGTGGTCAACGTTATTTGACTACGGCGTCTATGTCCGTCACCCAGTTTATTCAATCCTCACCTTCTCTACTCAAACTGGAGGCAACGTGGAAGCCGACTTTAGGAAGCAGTCAACGTGTCTGACCTGCGGCAGCTGCGAGTCTGCACCTGTGAGACACGTTGACCTTGAGTTCCTGGTGTTTCTGCGGAAATTGGATATGATCCCACACTAACATTGAGCCACAGACGGCCTGGACCACAGTTTACATCCCCATTTTTTTCCTACTTGGCCTCAGGAAAAGAAAACTCCATAGATATGGAAATATGATGTGTTCTTATGCAGAAGTATGCCCAAGCAATGTTCATGGTTGGAATATGGAAGCTGGCCCAGAAACCAACTGTACTTAGTGAACATAAAACATAATATTAAAGAATTAAGAATAAACTATAACTTTAAACAGTAGTTATTTGTGCAATTATTACAATTATTGTGTCTGTAATTACAGCAGTTAGAGGTTTTTGACACTTTGACACAGCGATTATTACGTTCTGCTAGTTGCAGCGCACAAAAGGAGAGATGTGATCTGAGTATAAAAATAAAACACTTTGCCTAAACGGAACCACACCCGGTCCGGAGTCATTACGTTAATGGAAGGCTTCAGCAAAGCCAGTCAAAACATCACGTAGAGCTGCCAACTTTTCAAAAAACGTGGAATTAAGAGATCTTGTCGGGTCTTGTCCATGGCGGACGGTAGGCGCCACCTACCGTCGGGGAGGTTGAAGAGGAACTTCTCGTTAAATAATATGTGTGACTTAAAGACCGAAATGAGTGGACTTGTGAGCCCTGCGTTAATAAACTAAAATGCAGTGAAATAACACAGAACGTTCCATGAAACGTGAAATAATGAAAGTGGCTTACAAGGACAAAACCGCCTGTAATTTGATGGCGTATCACACGTCCTGGTTCTGACCACGTGGTTTGTTGTTTGACTCCGCGTTCATACTGCAGCTCACCACACGGTGGCAGTATTAGAGCAGGAGATAAAACATATAGGGAAGAATTACGACGAATAATGTTCATTTAATATCAAAGTCATAAGCGACCACATGCACGTTAAACTAACCAGTGCATTAACTAGAATTCGAAGCAGTGACATGGTAATAACGTTTGTGATCACATTCCTACCATGAAAAAGGTTTTTAATGCATTTGCTTTTTATCCCACTTCTGACTGTATCACATTACAATCACCAAAATTTACAAATTTGGTACCACGTCCCATCATGAAAAGCCATCAAATGATCTGCATCTGATATGGGTCCGGATTCTGTGACTTAACTCACTCGAGTCCTCTGAATTCATCCTCCTTTTTCTTTGTTTGTCTATTTGCTTGCTTGTTGTTTTTGCCTTTTACTAATAAAGAGCATTTCATTAAACGGGAATCGTGTCCTTAGCCTCGTTCCAGCAGGACAACTTAAAACCCGTCAGTGCGTTTGCAACGTCTCGTCTGTGTTTTAATGAAAGACAATATGCTGCAGTCACTCCGAATGAGGTCAAAGATTAGGCTCGGGTCGGGGTAATAAATGAAACATTGGATCCTAAATTATTCATTTTCTTAGAGGCTCGAGGCATCTGTATATTTAATAGTGAGGACAGAGATGGGAGAGGCTGCGCGTTCACGACTCCCCTTCTCGCTCTGTCGCGTCGGGGACGCGCAATGAATCCCACACTAGCTGGAGAGGAAAAAAGCGCCGACGGACTGCAACAGCGACTCACCGGGAAAAAAAATGTTCCCTCCACCGCCCTTCATCAACGCTGATGTCTGCCAAAGTCATGTGAAAGGATCCGCTACGTACAAGGACTCGAGTTTTTTGGACCATTGAACTTGTTTAGTTGGATTGTAAACTCCAGGAAGTGATTGAAAACACACAGGGATTGAAGTTCAAACAGGACAGGTAAGATGATTCAGTAGTTAATGGGGTAAAAGTACTGCAGGTAAAAGATGAGAAAAGAAGCATCCGAATCTAAACTAAGGAGGAAAACACCGCCCTGTCGGTTGATTGGGACTCTGGTAACGCACAAGGGCATCTACGTGCAAAATCTCAATGTGACATTGGAAATGATGCTTTTCAACTCTTGCTAAAGTGAAATGTATTTGATTCTGCAAAAATCATGTTTCACCAGTTTCATTAGCGCAGGTTTGTCCGCACACGGTTGTTGCGACAGGCTGAGGGATGGAGAGACCAACTGACCCTCAAATTGCCGCAAACATAACACAGCATATGTGCATGTAGGGTTTTCTAATGTGCTCGGAGACTTCCAGAAATGTGTATTTAATGAACTACATTGTTTCAAGTAGCATACCATGTAAAAAAATAGGAAAATTAGAATGGGATCGTATTATGACAGCAGCAGCAGTATTTATCTATGATTTCTTTTAATTTTCTGTTTCTTGCATTTCACAAGTTCATAATGCAATTTCGATCATAATGCAATTTCGCTGTTGAGTGGATATGGAATGTAAAAGCTTCGACAGTACATTTCTTGTGCTGTAGTGGATCTTATTTTATTGCCTGGTAAAAACTTTACCTCTGATAATTGATGCCTGCAGGTGCAGAAAATGGCGCGACGGCTCCTGCAGCTTCTTGCCTTGTGGACGACTGTGGTCGGCAATGTGCAGTGCTGTCCAGAGCTCTGCAGCTGCCAGGATAAACATACCCACCAGATTGCTGACTGTGCTTACAAAGAGCTGCAGGAGGTACCTGAGGGTCTCCCCTCCAATGTTACCACTGTGAGCCTTTCTGCCAACAAGATTAAATTACTGAAAAGTAAAAGCTTCATCGATATCACACAAGTCTCCTCTCTCTGGCTGGCCCACAATGAGATTGTTACCATAGAAACGGACACCTTGGCCCCCTTGATCCAGCTCCGCAACCTGGACATCAGCTACAACAAAATTGTGGACTTTCCCTGGGAGGACCTGCGCAACCTCACAGGCCTGCAGCTTCTGAGAATGAACAACAATGAGATGGTGAACCTTCCAAAAGACGCCTTTACCAATCTCAAAGACCTACGCTCGCTGCGAATCAACCACAACAAGTTCACCGTCATTGAGCAGGGTACATTCAGTGCGCTCTCCTCCATGTCTCACCTGCAGATTTTCGACAACCCTTTCACGTGCTCCTGCAATCTGGAGTGGCTGAGGGATTGGATCACGACAACCAAGATATCTGTCCCCAGTCCAAACTTAATTACATGTGAGGCCCCCGAACACCTGAAGGGTACAATGGTTACGTTGATTCCCAAACTGGACTGTGTAGCCCCAACCGTCAAAATATCCAGCGAACCCAACGTTGAGAACACAGAGATCAGTGAGGGATTGATGGTCATCTTAAATTGTGAGACAACGGGGAGCCCCACACCGCAGATCAGCTGGGAGGTGACTGCAGGAAATCAGAATTTTCTGTTCCCCCTGCCCTCCACCGGAGAGATGAATGATGTGCCAATTAATGATAAAACAACCAACGGTCGATTCCTGGTCTTTAGAAACGGCTCTCTCATCGTCCCTCGGATGAGTAAAAGGGAAGATGGAGATTACAGCTGCTCTGCGGGGAATGATTTAGGCAGGGCTGAGAGCAGTGTTAAACTGGCTATGGCTGTCACCCAAAAACATGGCATAGACTCGAAGCCCGATTCTACACTGGAGAAGATCCGCCCATCAGTTAAAAAACCTGCAGAGGCCGGTAGCTCCATAAACAACGTCATCAACTGGACCAAGCCCGACGGAAAGCCAAAGGGAGGCCCTGAAGGTCCATTCGACAAAAGTGCCGGCACAGGGCAGGTCGTAAAGGAGCACACATTTGCAAGCAAGTGCGGCGTGAGGGAAAGCAGTGAATACATCTCGAACCACGCCTTCAACCTGAGCTTGGAGGACCTGAAGCAGTACACGTTTGATTCGGGCGTTATTGCCTTAGAAGTGTCAGAGACAGAGGCCAAAGTTCAGCTAAATCCGCTGCAGCTTCCCAGCAGCAAATCTAACCTTCACGTGAGTCAGACTGAGAACCAGGAAACAGTGAGTAAAGATGCCTTTGCCCCGTACCAGTCCTCATCCAGTAAAGTCACCTTGAACATGCTCTACCTCTGTGTAAATACAGGCAATGGACACTCCATGGTTCAGTGGTCCAATATAGAGGAGGGGGTTAACGCCTACCGCTTCCATGGTTTACATCCCGGCACCAATTACACACTTTGTCTCACCCATGGGGGGCAGGACTGCCAAGTCCAAGTGGTCTTCACGACCAGGAAGAAGATCCCCTCCCTGCTTATCATTGTGGTTGTTAGCATTTTCCTCCTGGGTCTGGCCACTGTCCCCTTATTTGGGGCCACCTGCTGTCATTTGTTATACAAGTACCAAGGAAAAACCTACAAGCTGATCATGAAGGCTCAGAATCCGGATCAGATGGAGAAACAGGCAACGGAAGATTTCGATCCCAGGGCGTCCTTTGTGGAGTCGGAGAAAACCTTCGACCCCAGCGAGTTAGGCGAGGGGGAGGGAGAGGCCGACGGGGAGGAAGGAGACGGGGAGGCCGACGGGAGCGTGGTGACAGAGTCCATCCCCGGGTCCTCATCCAAAACCAACCCGGAGGAGTTCGAAGTGGGCTCGGAGTACAGCGACAAATTACCGCTGGGAGCGGAGGCGGTCAACATCTCGGAGGAGATCAACGGCAACTACAAGCAGCCGAGCCGCTGAGCTGCACCGGGCGGCCGCGACCGAATCCTGTCACGTCGTTTACTTTCAAGGAGCCGGCCAATCACCCACCTCACCATTACTCCACGTTGAACATCGACGGCTTCTCATTCCAAAAAAAAAAAAAAAGGTGGATCGTTTGAATTGTTTTTACCTCAGAAAGTGAATCACGCGTGAAGTACTTCATGTGACGTTTTTTTTAGTGAACTGTAAGGTTAAATTAGGAAACGCGTACAATGTTTACAACGCGCGCACTGATTTATACAGTTTGTAAAGAGCTCAAAACGGACGATAAAATCAGCTAAAGGTCCGCGCGGTTTGGGCGGCGCGCAGAATTCGACGGAGTTTTACAAAAAAAAAATGTATTAACCGTTTTAAATAGCACAAACAACAAGTGCCATATTTTTTAAAGGGATTTTAAATAAAGTGACATCAGGGATCTCTCAACGGCTTATTACCACGTTCTCAAGTATCCACACTGCGGCCACGCGCGATGTTTGATCAAATGATGCACATGTTTGGTTTTGGTGCGCTGTCCTGTGAGACCAAAAAAAAAGAAAAGAAGAAGAGACATTGTGTTGTGTTTCACGTAAGGCTTTAGAATTGTGCGACTTTAAACCTCTTAATTGACGGCTGCTTGCTTACTCACGCTTTTTACATGACGTGTCCACGGCATGCCACGTAGCCTATTTCCGTGTGTGCTTTTTATTAGTGTAGACTAGAGGACTTTAGATGTTGCTGTCAACCTGTGATGTGAAGCCATGTCAATGGAAATGTTAATTACGTTTTTTTTTTTTTTTTTTTACGACGGTCAGTTTCTATGAAGCCTGAACTAAAGGTGTCCGGCGGCTTCACTGTGTTGTACGTGGATGTATATAGTGAGTTTTTGTGAACTGTTGTAAAACCAAACGAAAAACAAAACCAGTAACCTTTTAAGATTTTTTTTTATATCTTATGTAAGTGGAATTAATAAAACATGAAACTCGTGTCCGCATGTCTTGTTCGTCTTTGACCTTCGCGCACGGAATTATTTCAGCGAAAATAACATTTGAAATGAACATTTGAAATATGCCGGAAATATTAATGACAAAAAAAACTCCGATGGGCCACAATTTGATATATTTTATTTTATCGTTCCAGATTTCAGCCCCGTTAATTATTATAGATATTTGTCTTTTGATGGATTTTCCTTATAGAGGTTTGGTTCGATGTCTTTGTCTTAATGTCAAATATATTTGATAAAAGAATCCGATGAAGTAAACAGACCTCGCAGAGTGACAGAGGGGAAAGAAAAGATGATCAACACAACGCTTCTCTTTGTCTTCTAACCCGCAGAGTCCATTCGGCTCCACACGCACGACGCATTTAAATCAACACACTGCGGAATCTTTACAATCATTTAAATGACACAATAACATCAAACTGTTGAATAGGTTTTATTTACATATTAATCAGAAAGAAACATTCGGGTGTTCATACTTTCTCTTACAAGTCGACAGGATATTCCTGAGACAACGATACGGAAACGCTGCAGCAAGTGGTTTGATAGTTAGATCTACAAATAAAACAGAAAACACATCTCATTTCTCTAGTTTTCCACAGGTTATTATTAATTACTCAAAACGTGTGCGACTGAATTTGATTTGTATTACCCTGTCTATAAAAACATTTCATTCTGAAAATTAATAAATAGCGAAATAATCTACATATTAATAGCCTTGTTGAAAAGGATGTTTCAGAGGAATTAATGCATTTAGTTTGGGTGACAACACATTTTGCTGCACATGCTCTGTATGATAACAACGTACTGGAAAACTCGTGCAATCCAACCATCAGGTTGAACCATAAAGCGCATGGTGCCATCCCCAAATAAACGCATAAATCCACCGAAAAGTACACAATGAGTGTCTTCAGTTGGGAGATCAGCAGCACACAGACTCCTACATCAGACTGGAGCACATCAACCTCATATAAGGCAGCCAGTTTAGCAGTAGGAGCACAAAGAAAGGCTCAATGAATATCTCTACGTGTGGCACTGGACTATTAGTGCACTTATTGTGGGCAAATGATGTGACTTTATAACTTGCCCCAAAACCAAAAGAGACTCTGAACCGATCTTCAAGGTCACGTTCATGTTCATTTGCTGGCAGCGGTGTCCGCCTCCTTGGTTGCTGCCTCCTTGGTTGCTGCCTCCTTCTTGCCCCCCTCCTTGGCGCTGCGGTCCAGGCTCCCGTTCACGAAGCTCTCTGCGGCCTGGCGCAGGAAGTGCTTCCTGGTTCCCACCAGGGAGGGGTTGTTGACCAGGGTGTAGAGGAGATGCCAGTGCCTGCGGGCCCTCTTTGCGTCGGACACCTTTTGCTGTTTTTTCTCCTGATTGACCAGCTGGATCCCTGGAGGAATTCCAGACACGATAGCACCAATGGTATGTCATACACAGTCCTATCGTCACAAGAATAGCCTTTTTTAAAATCTTAAGTGAAATGGGAAAAGACTAAGCCCTCTGATGACAAGCATCAGAAAGGGTAATAATAGAAAGCAATCATGTTCTAATCCTCTAAGCTTGGAGCCAGCATATTGCACATGCCATTAATACACTGAGAGCTTAAGCCCCTTGGGCCACATGAATACGAAGCACGCAATTATCGTAGCTCAACTGTGTGGAGAACTAATCTTTGTAAAATTATTTCCGATAATGCATTGTTCTGTGGGAGCAAACAAGCAACATCTCCACTGCACGTGTTTAAATAGACTCAGCCGTGACAAGAAGCCACTATCATCTATACGTCCTCGTGTGATCACATGTGTAGGCGACCATCACCTGCCGTTTGAGGCAAAACTATCACCGCAGATCAGCAATTAGCCACAAAGTAGCTGTTCATATGTCGTATGAATTACACAAATGACAGATGGGTTGAATAATGTGTATAATGGCGACTACAATGTGTCTCGGTGGCAGAGGCTGAGGCCTCAGACGAGTGTGGGCACGCTGCAAAGGACGGATGATTAGTTTATGACAGATTTGATTGAGACCAGCAGCAGGACTGTAAATTATTCCGCAGTGTGACTCAATTTTCGCCTGACATATTAAATCAGAGCGGCTAAGCTTTCATCTCTTCTGCGCGTGCAAGACACTGTTATGAACTTATTATGTGAAACATTGACCCGCCACTGAATTCTCAACATCTCTGGAGAAATGAAAGATGTTGCACTGACTTTACTGTAGATATGAAAGTTTAACTTTAGAGGACGAGACTGGCTGCGAAACAACAATGAGTTGATCCTTCAAACAAGTGATGCCAAAAGCCTAATAACACTTATTCATCATGGACCCCACTCCTCTGTCAAAACCACCATTTACATCTATTTAGTAGTCCAGCTGTTAAAAAAGGACCATACATGAACTGTTTTCTTTTCAGTAACGTTAGTCAGAAAGCGTTAGGAAAGGACTAGCGAAAAGAAAAGATGTAAAGAAACACAGCCTTATCCTTTAACTGTATGAACACAGTGAACCTGAGCTGAATCATTATTCCTTAATGATCATGTAGATTAAGATAGGAGTTTTGTGCTACAGACCCTCTTCAGCACCCCGCGACCCCTCTGCAGCGCTGCTCTCCTGGCCCACGGACTGCAGCATCATCCCGCAGAAGGCCTTCATCACAGGGTGCGACTGGCTCACCTCAATCTTCAGATAATGAGCATAGCAGCGGTAGGCTGCAGATAGACACGGGGAGGGGGGGGGGATCACTCGGACGGGGAAAAAAGCAATAAACACATAGGACTGCAGCCTATGTTGGCTTTGAGGCTATCGCACATAATGGGCCATCACACATCCTTTTTTTTTTTTTAAAACCACCTGCTTTTTACGGACAACAGATGTCTTAAAATCGACAGCCCTTTCAGAGATTGGTGTGCAATTACAGTCCACCGCTCAGAATACAGATATCATTGCCGCTGCACTGAGCTGCTAGCAGAGTAAAGTGGAAAGGACACGCAATTCTAGCCTTTAAGTGGGATCAGTGAAAGTGCATTCGCTCAAAAGGAAATTGCTTCTTTTTATGCATCCACAGTGAAAGGGGGAAAAAAGCCCAGTGTCATTTTTTTGTATAAAAAGGTAAAAGCGTGTTGTTAATACCAATCAATATGTAAACTTTGTGTGTATGATGCTAAAACACCAAAAAGTGTAGGAGAATGTCAAATAGAATTGAGCATCCCCGAGCAGCGCCTTGTTTATTCATAGTTAGAACCCGTTTTAAATGCACCTAAAGAGCGAGATTTATTTTTACTGCTGATGGCAGTGAACTTGATCTGCTGCTTTGGCCGCATCTCACCTGGGTCAAATGCCTCCACATTGCGGTTAAGAAGACTGATGTCCATTCGTCCCATGTGGACAATGTTGAACAGGGCGGTGATGATCATGCGCCACACTGCCAGTAGCACCCCGATCAGAACATTGACTGGAAAGAGCAGGTACGTCAGCAGGAACAGATTCCCCCTGTAAACAGCATAGGATGGATTCCATATAAAGGACAAAGCCGCAAGTATCCAACAGTAAAATATATGAACATGAGATGATACATGGCTCAGAATATTATGACTCACCTGTTGTCAAGGTCTCGTGTTCCCGCCGTTTTTTTGATGAAGCAAAACCTGCCTGTGATATGTTGAATCAACACAGCCAAGAGAATCATCAGCCAGAAGGGCCTGAAGGGACAAAATCAAAAGTCAAACCTCTCCTGCATCACCTGTTTTGAGCTGACGGAACAATATCGGACAAATCCATTACTGTGAAAATGATGTTGCTGTTGATGGAAAACGGTTCCAGGTGTCAAGTCTTCAGAAAGCATGAAAGCAGCCTCAATTCTATATCAACCAAAATGCATTTTGGAGTCATCCAACACAGGGAAGTGAGGTGTGACGCTCACCACATGCTCCACAGGATCTGAAAGAGAATCAGATTCTGTCCGTGCAGTACAGGCATGAAGATGAGGAAGACGGTGACCAGAAGGCAGAGGAAGAATACCATGGTTTGGATGATCATGCCTGCAGGGGAGAGATCAGAGCTTCAAGGCCTCCAACATGAAATCTACACACTGCACAGACTATCTGTGCCAATATCGCAGTAAGGCCAGAGGCGATCAATAGTTTCTATTGCAAAGCCTTAAGAACAGAATTGGAGATATATCCAAAAACAAAGATTCAGGGAGCTATGAGCTGACAGAGTGCTATTGACACAGCGTGACATGTTAAAATATAAGGCCTGGCTGCATTACCATTATTGTTTTATTCATCTGATGTACAAAGCATATACCCTGCTGTTGGAGGTATAATAGCTAATATATGATGCACAATATCCAAGGTCCAGCAGCATTTCTGAAGCCAAAAATAAACAATAAAAGTAATCTACAAAATATAAAACATACTGGAGATAAGGTTTTCAACAAGAGGGGAATCTATTTTCTTGAGTATTCAATGCAGCTGTACCGATGCAGATGTGGGCTGCAGTGAAGCTGGTGAATCCCATCCAGCAGACCAGTGCTGGTCGCGAAGCCCTGATCCGTCTCTGGCAGTTGTAAACATTATAGATATCTCCTCTGTACAGCCCCTTCAGGTTTGACCTGCGGATGCAAAAACACAATCAAGACAATGAAGCAAACCACAGACAGATTCGTCCATAAATGTACAAATTACATACGTAATTGAAGAGGTAATTTAGCAGGGGATACAACCGAAAGGCAATTCAATAGTCAACGTAGAAACCCATTTATTTTAATACGACGTAATTTATGGTAATGGGACACTATTTCATTTCTTATCTTAATAGCCATTTTCAATTCCGGCTGCAGCTAACACAGAGTAAATCTTACTCTATCCATTTGGATGATTAGTACTCTATTATGTTATAATAACTCCTCTGTGAAACATCTCATTATAATGAAGGAACGTGCACAAGAAGCATGCTCCGGAATTTTGGAATATATTGGGAAGAAATAATAGAAGAACAGAAAGGAAAATACAGCCTGTTCTATTTCACACCTACCGATGCAGAACCATGGAGCGCATGAGCATGGCCAAGTTGACCAAACCAGAGAGGGTCATTGCTGAGATATAGCACACTGTAGGGAGAGGAGCACACCACATTCAGTCATTCACTAACAATATGAATGCATATTTAGCATCTCTCATGTCATTAACCGGCTGCTTTTCCTTTCGAGTCTCACTCACCTTCTACACACCATATGTAATGAATCACTATTCTGGTCACTTCATGTTTGTCCGGAGACAGCATGATCTTGAAGCCAGCTAAAACGTTGGCAATGTCTTCATCGACCCCCATGCGGGCAGTCTGGAGATGCGGCACCACTGCTGAGATCAGTAGAAGACCAATCTAAAAAGCAAAAGGAATTACTGGACAGTGTGTAGCAATACCGACTGCATTGTCAGTCTAATAGATATGGTATCTACCTGATAGAGGCTAACAAATGACACCACAGCAGAAATAGCCAACTTCAGTGGAAACCGGAAGGCTGTTAGATAGTAAATGATAAGATGGAATAGTTTAGTCAAATTTAAATGACAAGACCACAATTAAAGACACCACCAGGAAACCAGCAAAACCAACATGTTTACCTTCCTCTGGTGTATAAATATACGACTTCACAGCATCAGTTATTCTTTGAGAGAGCTTTGGCGTCTCTGAGCTGGATGTGCTGGGATAAAAGTAGACAGAGGGACACATTTACACCCGATTTTAAGAAGCTCATCGATCATCAAATAAAAAGAAGTGGTACTTTGGAGGTAGAGTAAAACATTCTACAAATGGAAGTAAACTGCATTATGTACTGGTATACCAGTATATATTTATGTGAATGAAAAAGAAAACAAAAGTTCCTTTTTCGTTTGAAGGCTTTGGCAGTAGTTCAACATCACATCTAACACTGCAGCAAAGTGTGTTTTACTGCTTTAGGCTCCAATTCTCACCTGATTTTGGTGGTCTTCTTCATCTTGAGTATTTTCTTCACATAATCTTTATAGTAGCTGCTGCTGAGATCCTAATAGTGAAAACATGTACAGCAATGAGGAACCAAGTGATATTGTATAAAGTAAAAGTTACAAGTTATTACAAAAGTTAAGATATTTCTGCAAAGTTGAAATATATTATTTGACAGATTTTTGGACTCACGCCTCACTTTCATAATCCTGAAATGCTTTGTACGTGTGCATCAGGTACTGTTTCAATTGGAACTTTCATTTTGCATTTATTGTCATGGAAAAATGCTTCCTGTTTCTATGCAAAGTTATGGTATCAGGTACGTTCCCATGGGGGGGGAGTGGGGGCCCCAGCTTTGTCCCACCCACACTGAGATTAGCACCCCATAAACACACCATTGTCTCTCCTGAGTGTAAAAACAAGGCAACCTTTTCATAATCTGCTCAGGAACATAATATAAACCAATCACGTCAAATCTACTTAAAATGATTAGACCGGCGTGCTGCGTTGGACTTCATATTTTCCCTCAGCCTAGACTGTATGAGCTCCATAAGCCCCTTGATTAGAAGGTGGCTTAGAAAGGTTCCTCATGTGCACAGATTCAGAAGAAATGTGCGTCTTAGAGGTTTTTTCTGTAAACACTACATGCTGAAGTGAATGTAGAAAAACAATCTCGTGTCCGGTTCGTTGTGTAAGGGGGACAAACAGTTAGTGTCTAAGGGCTGTGCAACCGACCTGAAGCGGACATGGCAAAGGAGCTGCACTCAGATCAAGACTTACCTCCGAAGCATTGTTCTTTTCTGTGCCCTTTAAGCCCTTGAATAGAAAAAGGGGATACTGGAAACTAAGGAATGCCAAGCAAGCTATCTGGGGCAAGCTGGAGAAAAGTGAGTAGTACTTGTGTATCTGGAAAAGAATCAAAAAGGAAATACTTTAAATCACCTAAAAAACTCAAAGGGACTGGAACAACACAATAAAAACGCCATTGTATTGATACAAAAAGGGGACACAAATGGCTGTGAGTGACGTGATGTCTGCATGTTGGCCAAATGGGATACGCACAACAACACAAACATCTGACACCTTCATGCGCCAGGTTTTATGATTAAGTGCCATAAAAAATACTAACATCTAGTTCATTAGTGTTATCATAAAGTTCACACCAAATGCCGTGTTTGGAAATAGATACTACAATAAGTATGATATTTATTCAAATGTATTCTACAGTCTTTGTGTTAAGCTTAGTCATGCAGATCAGCTCAAATGTTTCATGCAGGGTTTGGTGAGCGCTCGCTCATGGTGGGATCATCAAAAAAAGAAGAAAGCATCCAAAAGAAAGAAGAAACCATCCAAAGCCTGGGTGTCTCTCTTTAGGAACACACTAAACTGATTAACTGTGGCAAAGCTTTTGATTAAGACCGACGGACAGTGGAACAAATCATTTTGAGTCTCAAACATTCATGTCAGAGAAAACCAAACAACATGGACAAAGTCCAGGATCAAGTAAGTGAGTTAAAAACTGCAAAAAGTGTCCATCTGAAAAGCCTGATATTCATCTTTTCAAATCACATCTCTTATATGTACCACAGACCAGCATTGTTCTGGCAATTAATGGCTTTCCAGACCGCAACAAATCTGCTTTTTATCTGAAATACTCCTTCAAACTCAAACAGATGACACATTTAATCCAGTGACAATCTAGACAATATAAATCACTTGACTCATCATGAATGTATTTCTTTCTCATAAAAGCAGCTATTGATGCTTTATTTGCTTACCAATGGTGTTTTGGGACAGTCAATTTTCTGCCAGACCAGAACACCAAAGTGCGTCCAAGACAAGAGGCTACCAAGTACATAGCCAACTTTATTATGTAAAGTACCACATGCCAGGAGAGGGTAGTATAGTGCGGGGTAGTAGAAGACTCCCAGAATCACCCAGTTCTCTGCAAATACAAAAGAATTCTGTGAAGACCAAGCAGAGCATCGAAAGCAAGACACACTGGTTTGTGATTGGATCAAATTGCACTTTCTTGTTTCTTGCTCTTCTGAGTTTGTCTCTCTATGGTTGAATGCACTTATTGTAAGTCGCTTCGGATAAAATCCTCTAAAAGCTAAATGACATGTAATGTAATGTAATTAACAAGAACACAAAATAAAAAGACAAATGGAAGCAAAATAATTACAAAACAGTGACACAACCTAACTACTTACAGTAGTATTAAAGTCTGTGGAAAAACAGGCTGATTCGAGTGCTGAAAGCACCACAGCGACTTTCTTACGCTTGTTCTCCGTGTCGGTTGTGAAGGGGAGGGGGTTTGGAGACGCGATCAGGCCCCACAGTTTGCACAGAAGCACTCCAAACACGGCCACTGCAAGGCCCTTGTGCTGCGTATGATCCAGGAAGTTGACCGGACTGTGAAACCAAGCAGTATTTAGTATTTAGAGCCCGGGTGTTACCAGCCTCACATTTGAATGTGACAGTAGTATAATCGACTATGCGCATTCGCTGAGCATGAAAGCTCTCATCAGCACCAAAACCCCATAATTACCATGCATGGTTTACTTTAGCTAAAGGTTTCCTACATCAACGGTTCCTATCATGTACATCCACGTACCATATTACTAGTTTATGTGAAATTACCGGATGGTTTATCCTCTGTATACGCTTGTGTACTGTGAAAAATGAAAAGTGCCGACTGAAAGCTAATTTAATCAAGAACGTTAGTGCAGAATAATCCCCTTTTTGTTGGAATTTAAATTAGGGACACCATGTATTCTCAACATAGGAGGTCTTTTAAATATAATTTATGTTAAAGATAATTATTCGTCATATGGAATTAATACTGCGCTGTACTAACTTCCCTCAACATAATTAAGTGTTCATGGCACACAACATACTGAGATGAATGGAATCCTGTGACTGACAGGTAAAAGGGAAATCAACTAGGACTGTAAATGATATGCATTGACTGTATGCTGCGCGGTCACATTACATTCACATTTTACTCCTGGTCTTTATTTTGAATCAAGGAATGAGATATAGAAAACCAATACAGCCTCACCTGAGTAAGCCGGGGAGTCCCTTCTGTCTGCTGCCCGCCTTTGTGCGTCTGGCTAAGATGGCCAGGATCAGCATGATAACGAGCTAGGAGGAGAAGAAACGTCCGTTAGCCTCATCTCCACAGTAGCATGCAGCTGTGGATCCCCCAGGGTTCAGGCCTGACCCTGCTTCCAACCCCGGCGTCTCATTAGTGCGCCCCACGGATGTGGTCTGAATGAATTGTCATCAGTCACGATCGCTGACCAAAGAGAGCTCAATGATCTGTTATGACCTGGGACACATTTAGGAAACACTAAGCTGGGACAATGTGGACATACTACGGTCTCTGGAACAGACATCAGGAGAGAGAGTAACCGAAATGTTAATCCAAGTGAACGTGTCTGGATCTCAGGTGACATAATTGGTAGAATCTTCTGCACTGATTATAATGGATTTATTTTTTATTTTTAATAGTTATAAAATGTATTGAATAAAAATCCCCTGTAGAGAAAATGCATGATATATTTTGGTGAGTAAGTAAGTCACCATTTGTTCTGGGTCTCCATCAAAAAACATATTGATAGCCACATAGTCGTATTCTTTAATGTGAATTGTTCAGAGTTGCCCACATCTGGATCACGTGGTCCCGTGAACAGGGGCCCTTTTTTCAACCAACGTGCAATAAAACATGTTGAACCTTTTCGAGACTAATAACCAAACAATGAATTATAACGTTAGGCGGGGTTAGACAGGGATTACTTTGATAGCAAAACCTTGCATAACTTAATCACCGAAAAGAACGTCATAAAACAAAAATATTTCTTGCATTACATTGATCCAACACAACTTACAGATATTGCAGTGATGCATATGTGGTAGAGCTTGTCATCAGCCGTAGGGTCACATGGAAGGATTACTCTAAAAAGAAAAAAGGAACAAAACATCTACACATGAGCAAAACTTAAGACTGAAGGATTTTAGTCAGTGAGCAGAAATACACCTATAAACCTCCCACACGTCATTGTCAGGACCATTTGTGGCTGGAAACTTTGTCGACTGAAATCCCACAGCAGAGATTTGCATTTAAACGGATTGGTGTCAGCGTGACACAGGAAAACAACCACGGCCTATGTTCACCTTCCTGTACACCAGAAGACTTGGTCTTGACTTATTTAAATAAACGCTACACACGTCTGTGAGCGTAGAGAAGGCAGCTTCCAGAGCCGGAGTTTCGACATCTTTCATTACAGTCTCTTGCCTATCCGCACACAGAGTGTGAATTTAAGTCAATGTCAAAATGTTCTGTAAGTTCATTAGCTTGACATGGTGATCAACGACTGCAAATCCTGCATGTGCCCTGTTGTATTGTGGGAGGAGCCATGAGAAAAGAATAATGGGAAAATACTGTCAGTATCAGCTTCAAATTCAACATTTTAGTTTTTATGTTACACTACATCTACGCTTTTTGTGGTTGAAAGTATTTAACCAAAAAGTTATTTGGGGGTTAAATGCACTTTGGCAGTTTTTCTGGTGCATGAAATTGAGCCAGCTTTTACAGGAACAAGAGCACACACTGAAATGTGCCAAGAGTCACCTAATATCTCAATGCGAGCTGTATCTCACGGCTAAAGTTTTAAAAGGTAGGACGTGTACAAACCGGAAGACAAACACCAATAAAACATGCAAAACGATACTATACTTCACAGGCTTAGGATGTACTTACTCTTTTCCAATTTTGGACGGTAAAGGATCCAGGTCGGGGTACTCGTAGTCAAGTACAGCATCCTTATCCATTGTGCAGTCTCTTTTTTAAAAACAGGTCCACAGGAGGCTGGAACAGTTTTAACCACACTCGACTGGAGAGATGAAAGTTTCTCCTGAAGTAGGACTCAGTTGCTGCTCCGGAGGCTTCCTTGCTTCCCTGGGTTCGGTCTCACTCGGCTACTCTCCCTCGCAGCTTGTATTCAGGTGTCCTGGTCCCACGGTGGAGCTGAGAGTAATGTGACGGGTCCTGGCTGCAGCGTGCTGCCTCCACACTGCAAAGGCCCTATTTCAGCCGAGGGCTTCCACCACACTGGGATCCTGGGGAGGGAGTGAAAGGGGGGGCAGTGTGTGAAAGGAAGGAAAAAGTGGAGATCTGGGCAGGCAATCTGGAAGGCCACCTGTGATTTACAGGGATTACGTCTAGTTTTTGAGCTCGTGTTATTGGACCTGTGGCCTGATAGGTGACAAGGTCAGATATGCAGCGTTATAGAAACTCCAGCTGTACGAGGACTCAGCGGGTCGCTCGGAGCGAGGAGTCCTTCCTAGCGCAGTCGAGTTCCACATCGAGTTCACGTTTCTGAAATGTCAACCAGTAAATAAAAAATGAAAGCAAATGAAGCAGGACGAGGATGAGCGGAACGGTTTCAAGAAGGCGAGTCAGATCACACACGTCCACACACAGTGACTCTTCAGCTGGAAAAGGATCGAGGGAGGCTTCGTTCAATCCAGTACTTTGTATTCTACAGAAAAATGAAAATAAAAGATGTCCAAGGGCAATGTTCACATGTAAAACACTTTCTAAACCAGACACCCGCATCTTTAATTCTCCACTCCGATATCAAATGATTATATTGTTGAACAGAAAAACACTGCTTATCGTAACTGGGACAACGGTTGTTTTCCAAACAGTAACGAAAGTCATCCTGGAAACCAAAGATCCGAATGAGAGACGGGCTAAACTATGTTTTCAACATGATATGTAACTTAACAATAGGTACAGTCACACTGGCCTGAGGGGAATCATTTCTGTTCTAATGGTGTCATCTGTCAGCTCATAAAAGCAAAGATAAAGCGTTTTAGCCTCAGAGAACAAATTGAACTTATAAAACCATCAATTAGAGTTAAATCTATTGCACTTTTGATAGTTATAAACTACTTATGTTTCTTCTTCTTTTCCAAGCAAAAAAATGGTTTGATCTTTAATTTATCATCGAGCCATCTGCACAGCAAAAATACCAAATGCTCTCAGATTGCAGCAGGCTAAATGTGAGGATTTGTATCGTTTTGTATATTGTATAGCATAGTTGTTGAGAATATTTTACTATTATCTGTCACTATAGACTGAAAGAAAACGTAGATTGACTTATAATATTGTTACTTTCGGGTAAAAACTGATTAACATTTGATGGAATTAGTCTTATGAAAGTGTGACCTGGATCATCTCTTACCAGCAGCCTCGGTGGAGTCTGAGTCAAGACAAATCTCGGTTATGTATTAAATCCTGTAAGACTCGAACAACACCGGTAAATCTCTTCATCTTAGGTACTTTTCAACCGCATCACAGTTTGGGTTACACGTGTTGTCCTTCTTCACGTTGTATTCTCTATCTCCTCTTCCTCTGACAAGACAAAATCTCAAAGGGAATTTATGGCAGAAAGGTTGATTTGGACAGCAGGTGTTTCCTATTGAATTTAGGAGCGTGAATGACAGTATGAAGAGAGAAAAGGGAAGCACAACGCCTTCAATGTAAGTAAAGCACAAGCATGTGAGTGTGAGGTCAACGGTCATAGCGGCACCTTCGCACAAATGATTTTCTTTTCCGAACAAGTTGCACTCACTCACTCCTTCACTCACATTTCTGTGTTTTGTCACATACACAAAAGGTTGAATATGTCTTTCGCAATATGCCAAAAGGGATCAATCCTGCTTCCAGCAGCAGACGGCTGAGGCTAAGTCAGTTTTGCAACACTGCCTCCAAGTCAGCGTACACTCATTATGCCGGGATTACAGTCACACAACTTTAAAAAGCAACAAAACGTCCCTCCTAACACTCCTGAGAAAACACGGTTTCTCAAGCATAGTAAACCACTAAATCAAATGTGCCCCCGAAGAATAAGCAGCCCAGAAAATAAAGGGGTCACTGAACAAAGAATGCTTTGAACAGTTATAATTACATCACAAAGAGGCACAGTTTTATTGAGCGGGACAGTTACCTTGCATCAGTTTGAAGGAAGTTGGCTAGAAAGCCCCTTTGTTGCAAATATAAATCGTAATTAAATTACAGATTTACAAAAACTATTTCGAATCAAAACAGAAACATCATCAACTGTGACAAGTGAGGCATCCACAAACGAATTAAACATTGCAGAGTCAGTAATTATTACGTAGCACTTAAAAAAAGATAGAGACCATGCAAAATAAAATACTGCATGAATATAGAAAATATTGATGGTACCTTTAAAAGTTCTTTGCTCACCACTCCATGAGCACCGCTGCTGCCAAAGGCCTGTGCGCTTGGTGAAGCTGCGCTCCATGACTTTATGTACTGAATTGCACATCCACAATATCATCATCCAGCTACTTTCATGAACCTAAACTTTATTCAACACGGAGGCATTAGTCACTCTTTCATTGGTTAAACTAAACAGCATTAAAGCGATGGAGCAGACGGCTCGTTGCTGTCTGCTGCTTCTCACAACTGAGCGTGCGTGTCACTGTTGTCTGTGAACGGCAGCTGTTGCCCGCTCCTCTGGATTTTGTTTCACACACATAGACAAATTTCATGCCTTTGAAGCTGAGCCTGATCTTCTGACAACAAAGAGACGTTCATACAAAAGAGTGCCGACAGGTAACTCAATCACCTGTGCCTCCCTTTCTCGTGTGCTCAACCAACGACTAATACCAGGCATCAAATTTACGTTTTTTGTTTTTAACGATCCAACATGCTCCATATTGAATTGTTTTTTGCTGTTGTAATGCTCTAAAACAGGCTCAGGTTGCTTACCAACCACCTGCAGGTGTGCTGCAGCACCAGGCGAGCGTGGAGGGTGCAGCAATGTCAGAGGAGGACTGTGGGCACCGACATGCCATTCTATCGAGCGCCAACCCAAGTATAGGTTTTGTGCATGACCTCACATGTGCTGACTGCACCACATATAGCCGACACAATGCTCTACAGTGTGAAATCAGGATCTTACCTCGATTGACCTTGTGCTCCCTTGGCTTTGAGGACTTCAAACGAACGTTACTTTCCACCATGCGCCCAACCAGGAGAAGCTCAATAGGTACTCAGACAAAACAACAAGCAAGACACGAGCTTTTCTTTCCTCTGGACGGCACACATGTAGCGTGTGGTCGGGACTTTAACCCGTCTTTATCTTGCTGTGGTGAGAACATCATAAACGAGACAAATAAGGTGACAAATAAGGTCAAGTTCATGATAGAGAATGCTGACGTCTTGTAATCAATGTATTGGACAATGCAAAAAGCCTTTGTCAGTGGATATGCAAAAAATCCTATTTTAGCCAAATAATACGTTTGCATTTGTGTTTGCTCTGTTGATATTTGAGGGCAACAATGAAATTGTTCAAGACAGAGTCACAAAATGTTACTTTTGATTCATACACATTTTTCAGATTTTACCGATTTTTAGCCAGAACGGCGCAGGGACGGGAGCCAAGGAGGGACAGGACGTTTGACCGCGGCAATCATTTGTGGTGCGCACTGTCGAGCTGGTGCTGGAGACTTTCTTCAGATCAGTTCTTGATATACTGAACACCGTAGTGCATGCGTAAGGTTTACACCTTCAAAGAAATCGGGTTTGAATTTAATCAGGACCATGAAGTTCACCTGAACATAGAGGCTTTGGTCAAACTGTCTCCTCAAGAGGGAAGTGGAATCCTAGACCAGTTTTGGTGATACAGCAAGGCTAGAACTTCATCATATGCAGATCCAGACCTGCATATAACTGAAAAAGGAGTATTAAGAAATGTCTCTATTAATAAAAGCATATTTAGCCAAAAGGCTCCGCTATAGTTTCACTGCCTCATTAGTGATAACAATGCAGGGAAAGTGTTTGAAGAAACAACATTGTAATAATTATTATATGAACATTAGATCATTGTCATTTTTACCTTCTTTCTGGACACCGTCCATCAGTTTGAATTCAAGAACAGTTTGTCATTGTTCTCTCGATTAGCTTCCTGCCTCCGACATTGAAGTGGGAATCTCAAGTGCACGCCTTTTATGCGTCTAAAACTCCCACAAACCAGCCAACGATCACCTTCCTCGGCCTTTCATGTGAAAGACTGTTGTTTCCCAGTAATCCGGTCGACAAACTCAAAATACCTCGTGAGGAAGCAAAGCAGCAAACCACGAAGGAAAGCATAACAGCGACTAGATGACACCGCAACTAAACAGCCATCTGCCATCACAGCCGTCCTGATGAAGAGAGAAAATGACATTCTGTGTTCATTTCACTTTGCAAATTTTTTTATTTATTGCAAAATTAAGGTGACTCGGATGAAAAAAACAAAAAACTATTTGTATCTTCCTATAAGTTCCAGCATTTCATTTTTGGCAGAGTCTATTTAAATTGAGTAATGTTGAGGAATATTCCTCAACATGAAATCATGCCCCCCCCCCCAAAGGCCTCCTGGGTGCGGGGGGCTAATTACTGGGGATATTTTCCTACGGCTCAGTCTGCTACACCGCCTCCGTCATAATCAATGAGCCCGGTAACACTCAATTAGAACATAATTGGATTTGTGTGTGTTTGAGGCCGAGAAACATGTACGTTTGAGCCAACATGAAAGAACTGCTTATCTTTGCGGACAGCTGTAATGAAGTTGAATTAAATTGTCGGCCAGTTAGACATTTCACAAAAATGTAGCCTCTCCCACTCAATACCCAGATGCCGTCAAATATCGCTGTTATTATAATATTTAATTAATAATTTACACTTTGGCTCATGGCCAAAATACAATGAGTCCATTTGTATTGTACACATTGTTGTATACGGTGTAAAAATAGTCACTTCCGAACATTTTTGTGTTTTCTAAATTCAAGGCTTTCGAGGCTGATGTCTGAGGGCCGGTGGACGAGACGCGCTGTCAAAGCACGTCACAGCTGGGAACGTTAGGCTAGGCTAACTAGCTTGCTTAGAGTTTTGCCAACATTGGTACATAACAAGTCTAAATTAACACAAGCATATACAGCATGTTCTTATAATACAATATACATGTATGTTTCAGTTTGACAAAAGCAATGTAATTTGCTTGATTGTGATTAAATCTGAAACACTTAGCCAGAGCATAATGGCCCTAGTGTGCTAATAATCTGCGGTAGATGAGCTTTCATATCGCATTTTAACACGTGTGGTTGATTGAACCCAAACGGCAACTAGAAAAAAAAATCAATTTCAGTCTCCCAGATCGTTTCTGCTTTGATGTATTGCTGTTATTGTGGTCGACCGAGGACTGAACCGTTTATTTCCCGGCTCATGAGTGCTGAGAATGAGATGTTGTATGAAAGGAGCCCGTGACAAGTACAAATCTTCCTGATAGTTATTAAAGTGATCATGATCCCTTTGCTGCAGACACGCCGGTGTGCAGCGCTCAGTCCTTCACGCTCCTGCTGCGACCCCCTGACAGGCGCCTTGGATTTATGGCGGGGAGGAAGGGTCGCGTCAGAGTTGCTGTGTAACAATCCTCTTAACATAACCGTTTGGAAAACACACTGCACCCACACTCCAGAATTACGTTCGATTTTTATTACCTGTTTGTGTTAAATAACAGTTGACATAACACGCTTTACCAACGAAATGCTTTCCGAACGTCATAGTTGTGTGTATGTACGCTATTTTATCATGCACAACTGTAATATTTATGTTGTGCGTGTAGATGAAGCTGGTCTTGTAATAATATAGTATGGGCAAACTGTTTAATGGGTTGTATTGAGATAGAGAGGATGAAACCGAGTTTGTAAATCAGAGAAAAGATTTTGGTATTGATAGCAATCATTTATTGCTCTTTTAGATGGTGTGCATGTGTGTGTGTGTGTGTGTGTGTGTGTGTGAGGTCTGCGTGAGTTGCGTGTCAGCGTGATAGATGATGTCCTTGCCGCGGCCTCTATTTTGTCACCCTGTGTGTGTTGTTTGGGTGGTCTGTGAGCATACATTTAAAAGCTGTAGCGATATGGGTCATGTGTATTCAGTGGATTAACGGTCTTAGCTGAATGTCTGATGTTGCGGTCTTATCTTTTCCCCCCTTAGTGTTGAAATTTCAATCACACGGATATTTTTTCATGACCCTTATTTTATATCCTGGAATGAGGAGGGGGATTTGCTTTGTTTGTCATTTATTTAGTACTTTTCTCCATACGTTTGTTGTTTGTCTTTGGGTGTTAGGAAAAGGACAGTCGACCAGCTTCTTACATTAGGGAAACATAACAAATGTCTAATATAGGAAGAAGGAAGAAGAGACAGTTTATACTGAAGGTTTCATGGCTAGTGTATCATCATTATGCAACACAGCGTTGCACAAACAAATGCAGTTGTTGCCCGTTTGCTACACAAGACAAACATGAAAAAACCCAAATGAAGACAGCAGCGCTTTGCTGTAGTGCAGCTTTTTGAATTTGCATTCCAGAAAACATGCTATGAATATGGATTTCCATCATGTCCGTTGAGTCTGATGGGGATTTGCATTTCTCACATCTGAGAGTTTTTATTTATGAAATTACATTTTTTCCCTCCGAACGTATTTGCTCAAAACTAACAATTTAGCAAATTCTCCCAGAAGAACTAATCGTGGGGAGAGAAATACTGATTAGTTTTAAGATTTTCAATCCCCAAGCACAAAAAAAATAGCATTCCAATGTTGTGTGTGTGTGTGTGTGTGTGTGTGTGTTGTTTATCTTTAGATATGCATACAAACAGAATTGTCTGACGAAGGTGTGTTGTATAAATTGGAAACCATCTTACCTTTATTTCAGTATCCTGGTTACTGGTTAAAAACTCAAAGTTTTGAACGTTTTGTGTAATTTCCATATCTAGTGACTCTTCCATTGGGTTTGAAAATCCATGGTCTGGGAGAGCATCATTCATGCCACAGGGCCTGAATTTCACCAGTTTTCATAAGAGAACGTGCCCCTCGCCTGAGAGAGTCCGATTTTTCTGATGAATAATGTATTCACAGTCTGAAGCTGCAGACGCGTCTCACTGTGTGTTCAGGGAGACTTTCACACGTCTCTGCTGGAATGAGGCTGAATCGAGAGCTTGTCTTGGATGTGAACAGCTGTGAGGAATATCCCGCTATGTACAAAAGCCAGAGAGGAGGCTTCAAAAAGGCAACGGCCACTTATCGGCCACACGGGTGGAACTGTTTTCCATATTTTTATTTGTCCATTCTGAAATTAGATTTTAATTGCATTGGATAACAGGAGATTCACAGTGTAATTAAAACCATAACATCTAGAACCAAAAACAGAGTGTGTTTAAATAACTCTGTAGTATTGCATTGTTTACACTAATAAAGAGTTAATCTCTATTTGTTCCTCTCAATCATTTTAATAACATACATATCACAAGTACAACTGTATTCCATTGACAGGTGACAATTTTGATTTGAGATGTTAGTTCTATACTAATACGGACTTCTGGCAACATGGATGAATATTATGGATCACATTGCTTCTATTGAGGATTTATTTAACGCAGAAATGCATGTGGAACGGTTTCTTTACAGCATTGATTCGGGTTTCTTCCTGGTCTCCTGTCAGCGTTGGGATTTTGACCCGCAGTCATAAAATTTCCAGTCCTGAGGTGTGCCGAAGCGGTGGTTTTTTGAGATGAACGCCCGGAACAATCCCGACAAATGGAAAATAGATGAAGTAAGGACCTTTATAACAGCTTGTAACAGCTGATCATTTTCCTCCTCACATAAGGAGTAATTAACTACGCAGGTGTGGATTATACAGGGATTTCTTTAGGGAAGAGTTGTGCTTGAGGTATTTTACGACATCGCTGCCGGTTGATTGATTGCAGTGATTTCTTTGAAGACGCGGAAGTGGTCGGTTTGATCATTTGTTAAAAGTCGGTTGAGCACAAATGGCCGGCCGACCGGGAATCTGGGTGTTCTCTGACTGTAAATCCCACTGAGACTGTGGTGCTGTCACGCGGCATACGACTCCTGCAAAGATCACTCACACCAGACTCCATTAGCAAAAGGCTGCCCTCCACATGTCACCACTTGAACAAAGACTTGTGTATCCGCCCGACATTAAAGGAGGAATGCTTGCAGTCATAAATAAGGTTTTTGGTAAACAC